TGTACTGAACTAATCTTCCAAGCTTTCAAGAAACCCTAATGCAAAGAAAACTTATTTTTAGATACTATATGAATGTCCTGGGTTGTTGTGATAAGTTGCTCTCTCACAATTTGTGAGCTGAGAGTGGAAAGACTCAATGCACACAAGCAGATTGCGTATGAAATGCAAACGCAGGTGCTAAACGCAAAGAATTGAAACTATCTGCACAGAAATTCTGAAATCATGTGCAATAACTGATACTGTGAACCTGAACACATTACTTTTTGACTCCTCTAACCTCAGAGAGGTAATCTGAGAATCTTATCTTTTGTGCTAGCTTGCTTCTGATGAGGTAGAAGCCTCACTTGAATAGTATTATTTATATCATTGTGATTTCTACCTTAAACTAAAGAAAAAATCTCTGGGATAAGTGGCAACTATTTCAATTCTACCTCTTGAAACCTGTCTGCTCCTTCCTTAGTTTTACCACGGGAGCCCCTTTGATCCACTGCCAACTCTCTATGGTGACTTACTACCTTCTGTTCATGGCCTTAAGGTAAATGGAGGGGGTGGAATTCCAGAGTCCTTGCCACACCTAGGACTGGTCCTGTAGGCAACATCAGGATGGTCCCTTTGTCCACACTACTGTCTTAGTTCATTTTTTTTTCCCTGCTCTAGTCTGTCATCAGATAAACAGCCAGTCACACTTCTTGCAGGGGTCCCAATACCTGAGAGCTCCTTACTTCTCAGTTTGCAAGGGAAGAAGGAAAATCTTACATCCATCTCAACTGACTCACTGCCTGACTTCCCAGAACTCTGTTTCCTTCCTGGACAAATAAGGGCCAAAGGGACACTGGATCATACTGGGAAGCAGTGAAACAGACTCTGCTACAAAGAAGCAGGAGATTGACTGGCCCTTTTTAGAATGGTGATTGTATAATACAAGCTTTCCCCAGAACTGATTCTAGTTGCCAGTTCCAAAGCCACAATACAAATTCATTCATTATTCTATTAGGGATGAGTGTGAGTTCTGAGGACTGCACAAACAGGAAGTCATTTATTGACGCGGGAGAATGCTGAAAGCAGGAAGAGTTAACAAAGAAAACATGGGTCCTGCTTTGGACATTTTAAGTTTTACATGAATACAAAGTAGCTTAGAGATGTTTGCCTACAAATCATGGTAGAAGTCAGTACCAGGAACACACTATGAGACACATCAGAGCATAGTTGAGATATGAAAGGAGATCATTAGGACACATACACAAAGGGCAAGAGAAGAGAGCTAAGGACAGTCCTAAGTCATTGAAAATTCAAATTTAGAAAAAAGAAGAGGCCAGCAATGGAGACTGAGTAGGCACCATCAATGAAATAAGAGGACAACAGGGATACAACCAGTCCTTGAGGGCAAGTAGACTGACCAAGGAGCCCCCAATATGTCAGGATGGCAACAACTAGAGTATTCCAGTAGAATAGAGTCTTGGTTACTTTTCTCTCATTGCAGAGACAAAACACCCAACACACAAAATTAAGGAAGGAAAGGTTTATTTAGCTCACAGTTTGTGGAGTTTCATTCTATAATCAGCTGACTCCAAGGCAAGGTGGCATGGCACAGGGGCTACACTTTCAGACTGCAGAAGACAGCAAAGCTATCCTAGTGAAAAACGGGAAAGAGCAAGCCTCTTTTTCTCCTCTGCACTGTACACAGCCCCACTCACCTCATGGCAGGTGTAGAACTCACAAAGTCTCTGTGCCCTTACCTTGCACAAAAAAGCAAGGACCCTGGATCCCAGCTGAGGCTCTTAGTTAAACTTCTAACTTCTTAAGTTGACACAATGTATCAACCACAACAAAAAGAAAGGTAAAAAAAAGTTAGAGACTGGAAACCCTAATTGATGTGAAATGAAGAAATAACAAAGGAGGTAAAATAGAGTGCATAATGATAACTTGAATTTTGCTTTAAAGTGGAGAGGGACAAATGGAATAATAATGAAGAAATTTTAGGTTCAAAGAAATACTGTTTCTTCTGTAAGATGGAATGCACTGCATATGATTTAATGCTAATACAAACATAGAAAAGGAAAAAGTCTAATGGAGGAAAGTGAGCAAATAATTGCAATTAAAATTACAGTTAAATAATATTATGTTAAGGTCAGGGATTTAGCTCAGTGGCTTAAGCATCTGTCTGGGAAGCATGAGGTCATGAGTTTGATCCTCAGCACCAAAAAAGAAAAAAATTTAGTGTTATAACTTTATTCCTAAATAAATTTAAATATATATATATATATATAGTAAATTACTATTGAAGATGAAAATTCAATTCAAATTACTTCAATCCAAAAAACTGAAATAATTTTTAACACAAATATCAATGAGAAGCATACATGATGGATCAAAGACCTGGAAGAACAGCCTGAGAATATAGAATATGGCCAAGTCTTTTCCACCATTTGTCTCATATCTCTGTTTTGTTTCTCAAGGGTGCCATAGGCTTCCTATTGGTTAAGGTTCTCTCCAGAAACAAACTGTTAGAATATGTGTATAATTATGCAAAGGGGGTTCATTAATGGATCTAAGAGTGCAGCATGGCTATCTGCGTGCTGCAGAAAGAGAGGCTCTAGGAGCTATTCAACCCAAGAAGATAGAATCCACAGAAGAAGCAAGATCACGAATACAACACCGTCCAAGAGTGAAGGACTAGAAGCATACTGAAGATTAGCTGATATGAATCTGCATTAGCTTGCCAAAGTTAGAGACTGACGTCCAAATGTGATGGCAGCAAAGACACATCAACTAAAACTGTACCTCTTTCAAAAAACAAAGCACTTCTGTCTTTTCCTTTCCATCCAGGCTACCCACAGCACCAAGTATCTTCTCCCTCAATCATCTGGTCTGCATATTAACCATCTCCACAGACACAAACAGAATTGTGCTTTCTTATACTGCAAGGTATTTCTTAATCCAGTCAAGTTGACATCATGACTAAGGATCACAGGTAGGACTAAGCTTTTTTTAAAAATTTGTGTGTACTGGGTATTGAACTTACTACTTTGTGCAAGCACTTGCACTACTGAGCTAAATCCCCAGGAGGACTAAGCTTTTAACATGTGAACTGTCCATGACATTCAAGGTTCAAAGTTAATTTCACATTTTAGATAAGATAGTGTCAGCTTGCAGGATACCAGACTTCTGCTCATGAACTCAAAAGCTTACGCAACTCTTGAGTGATATTTTTTCATATGTAATGTGGGTAAGCAATCAAAGAAGGTCAAAGTTTAGCTAGTCAAATCTCCCTGGTGTCATCCTGAGCCAATGTCTTTCTGATTCATTAAAGTTTTACTGCTTGTCAGCGGCATGGGCCAGGAGGAGAACCAGAACTTCCGAGATCCGGCCATGGTAGGACTCAGGCAGCTTATTCACCTGCCCTCTTGGTAAGCGCCTGCAGCGTGGGCCTGGAGGAGAACCATTACCTGTGAGCCTACTCCTATGTGGGCTGAAAATCAAGCACCCTTCCCCACCTGCCTCCTCCCCCCATAGCTACTGGGGACAGATGTCTCAGCATCTATTGGGAGGATGACCATATGCAATATAGCAAATATGGGGGATTTCCTTCTATCTTCTGTTTGAAGGCATAGGTTGTTTTCACTGTTTTGTTATGTTTCTTTTGCTCTATTCAGTATTCTAAATTGGTTTTATAATGTTCTATTTTTGGTTTGATTTTGCTACACCTAATTGACTGGACAGCTACTGTGAAGTTAATGATATATACCATAGTACATATTACTACTATCCCAGTATCCTACTGTGAGATCCTGTACCAGTTTCACTGCATTGTCTCGATTGGCTTTGTTCTGTCTTGTGCTGTTGCACTTTTACTACTTTCAAAATAAAATAAAAAAAAAAAATAAAGTTTTACTGCATGTCAGCCAAGGGGAACTCTGTAGGACTGCAAAGATATTAATAAGGAGTACCTCCGCTTCAGGTTGGAGTCTAAGAAAAGCAAATTACAAGGGAAAGATGGACAGCTTCATAGAGATAACTAATTAATACCGATAATTACAAAAGAAAGAATGAATATAACTATGTGGACAAGATGCTCTTCCCTTCACTAGTATTTTTTCGTTTGTGCCACACTATGTTAATGTTTGTGGGAACAGATAATAGAAATATTTATCCAGGATGGCAGGATCCTGCCCTGGATTCCACATCTGGGTGCAGCTCCAGGGCTTCTGCTCTTGGCCCTATTCCTCAGTTTCTAAAGCTGCACGTTCTAGTCCAATAGTCAAGGGTCATTTGTAAAGTGATTTGCAAACTTCAGTTGACAAGAGCCAAATGAGTTGGGAAAACAGGTTAATTTGGTGGTGGTAGTATCAATCTATGCTTTGTGTGGTTCACGCAGCCAAAACAAACAAACAAAATCAGTAAAACATAAATTGAAAAGAAATACAACTTAAAAATGAAAAGGCGCAGGTTAGGTGTGGCTCAGTGACAGCCCCCACGTGTAGGGCCTACAGAGTTCCACCCTCTGCAAGAGGGGAGGTGGGCCTTGCAGGGCGGCGCGGGGATGAAGAGGAAGGCTGGGCAGAGTTGAATGAGAAGGCTTGTTTCTCCCCCAGGCATACACAGAACCTGGGTCAGTACTCAGCCTCAGAATACCTCTCACAATTCATACAGCCCTCACAGATCCCAAGTTACCAACAGAACTACCGCCCAGTAACCGCGTCGTCCTTTTTCTCATGTGACGGGCTTACACAGAGCACACTTGGCGCTTTCACTGGTTTCCAAACCAAGCTGCACACTTGATTCATCAAGGCCCAGCTGGGTATGGGTGGGTCTGAGGAAGGGGCGGTGCTTCTTGGCAGTGTTGGGCGGGGCCTCGGGCCAGGGAAGGAGCCAAGGGGAGGAAGGAGCAGCGAGGGGCCCGGGGCGTGGCCGGGCCGGGGGCTGGGCGTGGTCGGGGGCGGGGCATGGGCGGGGCGTGGCCGGGGCGGGGCGTGGCCGGGGCGGGGCGTGGCCGGGGCGGGGCCTGGCCGGGGCCGTGTAGTTCTGGAGACCCAGGGATCCTTGCGGGCCGCAATGGTTTGTGCGCTGCTGTTCTTGGTCCCCGCGCTGTGGGCGCTGCTGCTCTTGGGCTTGTGGTTCTTCCTGCGGGCCGATGGTGACCTGACACTGCAGTGGGCCAAGTGGCGGGGCCGCTGCCCAGGTGAGGACCTGTGCGGCCTCTTCCAGCTCTCGTCCGGGGCCCTCGGATTTGGTACCCCAGAGACTCTGGGTCCCAAGGCCGCGCCTTTCCCAGGGCCAAGAGCTGGGGACCAAGGGGCCGTGGCGAAGGGCGCTTTGCTACTTTGTCCCCTTTCCTGGTGGGACGATGAGCAGGACTGGCTTCCTGCCTCGGAGCCTCCCCCGGAGGCCGCCAGCCTGCAGCGAACACCGCGCTCACTGGGCTGGACCGGGTTGCAAGTGCAGGGTCAGGGACCGCCTCCTGCTTGTAAGGGAGCTCAGCTAAGAGGCTCAGTGATTCTGCTTCCTGAAGTTGTTTACCTTCAACTTTTAGCTCTCCCTAGTTTTGAAATCTGATGTAATTCGAGTTGGCTGCCTATTTCCTCACTCGAGGAGTGGAGAGGACTGAATTTACATTTTTTGTGCAGAAAGATCGTTCTTGGTGCCCTAAGGAACATTCTCCCTTTCGGTTTTGTCTGTGCCCTGCTTCATGTGTGAAGCCTGTATAGTACAGATAGGTCTGTGTTGCTTTGTTAAGTGTTCTGTGTCAGAAAGGGCGTGCACTGCGCCCTAAAAACGTCGCCTTTGAATTTGACAACAGTGTTACAAAGAAGGCATTGTCACTTCTGGTTTCCAGATAAGGTGTTTAGAGAAATAAAATGACTTGTGCTTTCAGTTCTGAAGGACTCTACATGGGTTTCCTTGGGCCGAGTCCCAGTATGAAACTACTCAAGCTTGGGAAGTTACACAGCTAGTAGGTCAGAGATTGGCCACATGGCTGGCATGAAAACTGGTTCTCTGGACCAGAAAGAAATCTGCTTTGTACCCTTTGATCCTACTAGACAAAATCTTTTCTGAGCGTGTCTATTTCTCTGGTTCAGTTTCCGAGAGTGTAGCGTTTGTAGCGCAGTGCTCTATTCGCAGAAAATACACAACACCTATGAAAGGCTAGCATTGCAGAAATGACAAGATATTTGGGTGCAGGTCTGAGCGTGCTCAGCAAGTGCGGTACCACTGAGCTAAACCTCCAGCCCTTCTGTGCATAAAGCAGGAATTCCACATACACTACAATTGCAGGACCCATTCAGCCAGTGGAATGCGTGGGCCTATTTGCTGCCTTACAAGTCCTTCGTGCTTTTGTGTTAACTTGGACTTGAAGAATAAAAATGAAGTTAGTTTATATTTTATTCTGTAATGATTCAAAACTTTACCCATCAAATTTTGACAGTAAAGTGATAACAGTATTTGACTAAATATACAGCAGTTAGTGAGCTCAGTTATTTTCTTATATGAAGCAAAAATTGAAAGTAAAGATTACTAAAAATAATTTTTTAAAAATTCATTTAATTTTTCCAATTGTTTTATTTCTGAAGAAAAATATTTGCATATTTTAGATGTAATTACATTCTATTAATATGTTAAAATGTACAAGTTTTACATAAATTTGACACAGTACCACTTATCTAAGTAAGTAATATTGCTAATTTTAAGTTATAAAAATGGTAATATCTCCTACATTTTAATATAACTAAACATTTATAAAATGTGATTCTTAAATTGGTTTTAACTAAAGAACAAGCTTTTAAAACTTTTATATATAAAATATAAAAATACAGCACAAAGATGGATGTACCATATATCTATCAAATTAAAATTTCATTGGAGTAAGTTTTAGAGGAAAAAGTTCCAAAATGACTCCTGTTAGGGTGGTGGGGGCCAAAGAAAAAAAAGGAATATGGAAATAAACTCGGATTACTAACATAGCTAAGGCCAAAATGATGGGCAGAATCCACCAAGAAGAAAGAAAGAAGGAAAGAATTACCTCTTAGATGTCTGTATAGATTTATTATTTGTCACTTTAAAAAGAAATCACACTTGCATAATTGAATAATTAAAAGACAAAAGAATCTTCACTAAAAAAAGTTTTTTCTCTCTTGCCCATCCCTTCCATTATGCCCCCTTGGAGGCCTCCAGGCTTCCTGCCCTTCTCTATCTCTCTGGAATCACTCTGTTTCCCAGCATGCATCTCCCATGGTGAGATCTAAAGGAGGCTGATTTAAGTTATTGACCATTGGTCCATGAAAATGCACAGCACAAGTACGGAGTAGGAAAAGAGACAAGCACAGCGCAAGTGAGGAAAGCACAAATTTAGTGGTCAAAGGCCTCCTGTGATTCAGCTGCGAGACACCACTGGAAAATCCCAGGCTGCTCTGGGCTGCATCTGCACACTGTTGTCTGAGCAATGACTGTAACCGGTGTGTGTCCCTGTGCTGGGCACTGGGCACAGCAGTGACTTGCTCCAGTGTGATCTGTTGTAGATCCTGTGCCCTGGGGGAGAAGGGAGGGACTGAGTTATCTGCTACTCAGGGCTGTCTGGACCCCTGGAATCCTGCCCTGTTCTCTGGGTGACTCTTTAGATGGAGGAACAAGGGCAGAGGGTTTGGGCAGAGAGAGGTAAGCTAGCCTGAGTCACATGAGGAAAGGAAACAGCAGCCAACTGTGTTAGCCTTAGAACTTCAGGAGGATAAGTCTTTAAGTACAGGACGGGTGGCAGTGTGAAAGACAGGTCTGTGTTCTTTTTGTTACCGGGAAGCAGAATTGCTGTAAGTTGGCAGAATTTTCTGTTATAAAAAATGACAGTAAGTTGGCAGAAGATATAAGCTTATCCCATAGCAGAAGAAAAAAACTGTTGAATGATCTAACCCTATCCTTAAATGGAACCATGACTAGCTGCCATATATATGCTGTGGGGAATGAAGTTCATGACTAAAGAAGATCATTCTCAGACGGCGGTGGTCTTCGAGAGCTTCTTTAGAGACTGTGGCAGGGGAGTGCAGCTAATGTATACCCTTGGTCCTCCTCTGTGAGGAGTGGTCATCTTCTACAGCATGCAGCTTCAGGAGGGATGCAGGTGAAGCAGTCAAGGCAGAGCCAGCCAGATCAGCCCAATCAACCCTGCTGATCAGTGGGGTGACAGATGTTGCAGCCAAAATGCCCTCACATTCTGGGCTGGTCTCTGAAAGTTTCTTTTTAACTCTTCAAATCTGAATTCAGAAGCTTTCTGGGAATCCATTATTTGTGCCAAATTCTATGGAATTGGTGAAGAGAAGTTGGTGCTAAATCAAAAAGTGTTTTTCTTCAGGGTGGAAGATGAGTGTCAGGACTGCAATTGCACTTTGGTAGATATGAACCTGGGTGCTTTTCTCATTGGCTGCTTAGTGGTATAGCATCTAAAGCCTTGTTACCTCTCAGCTAGTTAGAAAATAGCTGCAAAACAAACTATTTCACTTCAGTCTTAGTATTGTGAAATTTTACAGTAATAAGTGCTTGATCAATAATTAGTTATCTGGATATACATCTATTAAAAGTTCTTGTTACTCATTTGTGCCTTTCAACAAAAGTATATTACATTACATGCTAGGATCATGCTGTAGCCCGGCCACAGTACTAGGGCTGTGTTTTGGTGTTAATTTGGACATATTCATGAAACATTTTTCATAGGGACAACTGATACTTTCTCTCATTTCTAAGAAAATATTGATTGTATTTAGAGCTAGAGATATAACTCAATTTTAGAGGCCCTGGTTTATACCCCAGAATCTGGAAGATATTGTGATTCTATTTAAATGCATGGACCACAGGATAGAAGACAGTGTGAGCCTTGGATCCAGATACATCGTGGCTCCTCCTGCAGCGCTGCCAGGGTTCTGTGTGTGTCCACAGCAGCTTCTACATTCCTGTCTGTGTTCATTCTCTGCTGGGCACCGAGGCCCCAGCCATGAAGAAGATTCACAAGTCCCAGCCTTGATGACTTTCACAATTTAGGGAAAATTGATCTCTGGAAGCTTCAGTTTCCTTCTGTTATAAAAAATGACATTGAGAGACCAAAGATTTAGCTCAGTGGTGTAAGTGCCTGCCTGGCAAGTGCAAGGCTCTCAGTTCAAATCCTGGTAGACACACACACACACACACACATACACACACACACACACACACACACACACACACAGTAATATCTATTTCATGAGATTCATGTAACATCTTTATTAAGGTAATGTGTTAAGTAATGACAGAATCACAAGTTATTTAGCAGTAGACACTTTATTGCCCCTGGTGGGAGGTGTTAGAACACGTAAGTCATTGAATGAGTATTTTCTTTTGCTGTTGTAAGGTGAGGCTGTTGAAAAATTTTAATGTCAATTAGAGTCAAAATTAGTCTAGCATTCAGTATGAGCCAGCTATTGATCTGAATGCATTCCATGTTTTAACCTAGTCCTATGGAAAGTTTTATTTTTTTTTTTAACAGTTTTTCTAGTTCTGGGAAATGAAGGCTCTGCATTCCTAATAAGAGACAAGTGGTACTATAGTGTAATGAAGCTGGAATTAGGGTCCCGGCAGTACGTAGGGATCATATGTTAAGACAGTGTGATGTTAAATGATACCCTGTTTGCTGCTTTTGGTCAGTAATACATTTTTTGAGGGGTGGGGGTACTGGGACCCTGTGCTTACCAAGCAGGCACTTGTGCTGCTTAGCTATACCCCAGCCCAGTAGTACATAGTTTAATACATAAGGCACATAAGAACTTGGCACCACATGGACTCTACAGAGTCACATAGATAGTACCTGTCAACCCTTAAAAGTCCAAATAAACCACTTCTCATCACTTTAATATTCTCAGCTTCAACAGGAGCATTTCATGTCAGGTGAAATGGATTCATCTGAGGACTGAGGCTTTTGGAGAGTACTTTTACAACTGATGCTAGCTTACAGACATCAGATATTGATAAGTGCAGACAATATTACTTTAGCAGTCTGGGCTGATTACATTGTTACACAGAGCAGAAGTTGGTACATTTGGATTTTTCATTAATACTGTATTTCAGAGAATTTGAATGTGGAACTGAAAACTGGGTAGGACCTTTATCAACAATCTAGGTTGAATCTCCCATTTAATAGACAAAGTGAGTCCAGGCAGTGGTTTTTCTATCCACTTAGCTTTACTTTTATCAAATACGTAGATAAATGCAGCCCTGGAGTGCGACAATTAAAGTCAAAATTAGTCAAGCATTTGGTATTAGCCACCTATTGCTCTGCTCTGAATTATATAGTTTTCCTTGAAGTAAAATCAGAAAATTTCACCAAGATTCTGAAATATACAAATGTCTATATAGATAACTATTACTAACATGTTTTGTGTTCATACCTTAAAAAATTAGTTAGAAAATTATTTTCCTGGGATACTTAAAATGTTATGTTGTACATATTAGGTTTTCACACTCTGATGGTGTTTACAGTTTTGTATGCTAATGTTGATGAATATACAGGCATAATCCAGCCCTTCTTGGCTCCCCCCATGCCTCCTCCTTCCTCCACAGAACAAGAGCTGACTGGCTCGGTGGTGTGGGTGACAGGGGCCTCAAGCGGAATTGGTGAGGAGCTGGCTTACCAGTTGAGCAAACTGGGAGCGTCTCTCGTGCTGTCGGCCAGAAGAAAGCATGAACTGGAGAGAGTGAAAAGACAATGCCTGGGTGAGTAACCCTCAATCAGCAGCCTTGCTTCCTAAAAATGAGTCAGTCTCCAACTGAGGTGCAGCTTTAGAACTTTCAGAGGAGATGTTCCAGCTGGCACATATTTATAAACCCTCAAGTGCCTTGACCTAATACCACTTTTTTATTCTTAAGCAGCTGCCTTCTCCTTTTATTCTGCCATCTTTGTACCCTGTTTTTCTATTGACTCTTAACTACCAATTATCTGAAATACTGTTCGATTTTTAGTGACCAAGAGCTTTTAGTTTTTCCTTGTAGAGGATTCTGGTTGTTATCCATGACACATGTATGATACTTCCCTTGAGTTAGGAAAGATCCTTCATCATTTCACTAAAATGTCTGATATTAATGTGGAGTGGGATAGTATAAGAATTTTATTAGATAGAATAAAAGACAGGGAATGAAATGTGGTTGAAAAGTGCAATCTCAGTAATTACACATGGTCACAAATGCTTGTAATCCAATATTCTGTTAGACTTAAGGTTGTAAGACCACAAGTTTGATCCCAGCCTGGGCAACGTAGCAACTTAACAAGACCTCATCTCAAAGTAGAAACTAAGCTTAGATAACATGTTATTATTTCTCATAGAGCATTTAGTATTTGTCTTAGTCACTTTCCTTGTTTATGGGACAAAATATCCAACACCCACAGCGAGGAGGACGAGGGGTTTATTTTACCTCACAGTTCCAGAAGTCTGAGTCCTTGCCTGGTCAGCAGCACCGTGGGAAGGAATGGGGGAGGAAAGGTGCTTACCTCAAGGGGGTCAGTAGGAGAGGATGAAGCGAGAAGCAGGGAGAGACATCTTCCAGATTATGGCCTCTGATGAACCTGCTCCTCTGGTCAGACCCTGTCTCTAAGAACAGCTCAGTGACACAGTCACTTCGGGAGCTCTGGCTGTGGTCACATGGGGCCTTTGGTGGACATCCTTGATCTAAACCATAACATTCCGCCCTGGCCCTCAAAATTCTGGAGGACATCTCTGTATGGCTCGGTTTTAGGAGGCTCAGTCTTTGCATGGTCAGCAGCGTAGCAGGTGACCTGAGGTGGAGGGATGTTGCTCAAGTCACGGTGGCCAGGAAGCGGAGAGCAAAGTGAGAACCAGGAAGGGAAATGGACCCTTCCAGATCACACCTGTAGGGAGCCACCTTTTCTGACCAGACCCAAACCAAACAGCAAGTCAGCAGTACCATTTCCATCATTCTGTCCCTTTCAAAATCCCCACCGGTGAGGTTGGGGGCCTCTGTAGGACACCCTTGATCTAAACCATACAACACCAAACCTGGGATAACTTTGAAGTTTCTAGCAATCACGCAGTATGGGGTTTTCTCTAACTTTCATTCTTTTTAAAATTCTTTTTTTTTTTTTTTAATATGGCTTTTAATAGTCTTTTTTTTTTTTTTTTTTTTTGTCTTTTTCGTTTTTATCGGTACCAGGGATCGAACTCACAACTGCCTGCTTACAAGGCAGGCGCTTATGCCGCTGAGCTAAATCCCCAGCCCCTTAATAGTCTTTTTTAATGGAAAAAAGTCAAACAATTTCATAATGAAAGATAGCAATCTACACCGTTTTAAGTATTGCCATCCTCCAAAAATACTCTTTTTAGTTTGCTGATTGAAATAAGCACTCAGTAAGGAGAGCACGCTGCCCCACTAACCAGAGCAAGACTTCCTGCTTTTCTGACAGGTCTTCAAGGCGTCTTGGGTTTTTGTGCTGCACCTTTCGTTATGGCAGTGGATCCTCTGCTGCTGGATTTGCAAGTCCTGCTTTGGCAGGAAAGACAAATTCGTCAGCCTTTCTCAGCAGTGAGAGCCTGACTCCGTCACGTCAGTGGACAAACCTTTCCATTTCTTTTACTACTACAGATGATGCTTCACTGTTTTCTCTTTGCCCATAATGCATTTGTGTCTCATGTTTACTATCTGTGCTTGTTTTTCTTACTGGCAGTACTTGTTGCGTTTCATGGTTAGAGTTCAATAAACTCACTTTTAATTTGTTTTTTTTGAAACCTAGAGTAGAAAGGGCCAAATACAGGCCAACATGTTGTTTCTAGGGACAAATTGTGGAACAGACTTCTTTTTCTCATTTTACCTCCCAAGATCCCTGGCTGATGTAGAGAAGCTTCTATGATTATGCATCCTTTGATTACAGTACCTGAGCTTCCTCCTGATTAAAGAATAAATTGTAATTTTTGTTTTTCTTTTGGCGGTACTGTAGGTTGAATTTGGGCTTTCATGCATAGCAGGCAAGTGCTCTGTTGCTAAGCCACATCTCAGCTCATAATGTGCAGGTTTTTAATGTGTATAAAAGACCAACTGACCTTTGTGAACCTATTGCAAAGCAAATGTAAGCAGACCTCTTGAGAAATGCTGGGCAATTTTTGCTTCATTTAGCTTATACTATATTCCTGATTTCTGTGAGTCAGTTCTAAGTTCCTACTTTCTATAATGAAGTTGAAGTGAGCCATTACACATCCTATGAAGCCACCAGTTTTCTGTTGACAATACTGTCCAAAACACAGGTCTTCCTCTTGTTCACTGAGAGAAACTATCACAGGGACACCCAAAAGTGACTGTTTCCAACTCCTTGTGGAGGGAGGGTACCCTAAACTTAAAGGGAGCAGCCAGAAGCTTGATGGAACTCAAGCACGAGATTCGCGGTAATTTTCAAGTGTCTTTCTTTAGAGAATGGCAATGTAACAGAAAAAGATATCCTCATTCTGCCTCTGGACCTGATGGACAGAAGCTCCCATGAAGCGGCTACCAAAGCTGTTCTCCAGAAGTTTGGGAGAGTAAGTAGTGTTTGCAACAGTAGAACATTAATTTGTAGCTTCACAGTTGATTCCTATGGGTGCTGATGTCCTTTAAAGAGCTTTCGGGAAATTGGGGTTGATGCAGTAGCCCCAGGCCTATGAGTTCAGCCTTCTCATCTGTAAATCTTGAGGTTACATAATGAGTACTTTTCAGATTTACCAAATACTACTAATTTCTCTATGTAGAACAAAAGAATGTAAAAATTTCCCTTATTTTTATGACGTTTGTCTTTGTCCATAAAAAATTACTTGACATAGAAATCATATAGGTGAATTCTGGTGGTTTTGTCTTTATTTTAGACCTCTATAAACCAAACCATTGTTTTATTTATTGTTATTGTTAACATAACAAACTATCCCTGAAAATTTCACCCATCCACATAGGATATCCATTTTATGGTTTTATTTAACTAGATTGACATTCTGGTCAACAATGGAGGAAGATCCCAACGTTCTTTGTGTATGGATGCCAGCATGGATGTCTTCAAGGAGCTAATGGAAATTAACTATTTAGGAACAGTGTCCTTGACCAAGTGTGTTCTGCCTCACATGATAGAGAGGAAGAAAGGCAAAATTGTGACTGTGAATAGCTTTACAGGGATTGTATCAGTGCCTCTTTCCAGTGGATACTGTGCCAGCAAACATGCTCTGCGGGTAAGGCAGCTTCAGTTCAGCTCTTAAACTTGATCTAAATGTGTGTGGGGAAGTGTGGCCATCAGTGGGCAGACACTGGTGAAATAAAGTACGAAGTGTAGAATACCAGTCAGCAGCACACCGCTCATGCCTTCCCTCGCATTTCTTGCTGGTAAGCTGCAGGTCCCCACTCCTTACTTCTGCGTACCTTTCAGATGTCTTTTTCTCTCATTTCCATTACTTCTTTTCTTTTCCCTTTATCTTTGCTGTTTCTTTTTACTTGATCTAAGTGTATGTGCAGGACCCCTGGCCTCTGCCTCATAACCTTCCTGGGAAAAATACTGACTCTGTTCATCCTAGTTTAATTGAAAGAAGAAAATCCAGTTAAGGGAGAGACTAGGAAAAAAGCTTGGTTTGGGTTATGAGGCATAAATGTTAGAATTAAATGAATTTTGAACCTTGATTTCAGAGTGGATATCAAGAGAATTATTAGAGGAGATGCAAGTTCCACATGTAATATTGATGAAGGTCAGTTTTAGTTGAATATTTCACTATGGACAACAGCTGCCTCGTCATCATGGTTCATGGAAACCAAAGCTTTGTTCTTTAGGAAATTCCCTTTGCATTGGGAAGAGCAGACAGTTGCAGAGCATGCTGTACCAGTTGCAATGCTGAGGATTCGCTGATGCTGAGGAATGAATGAGCTGTCAGTGACTTCCAGTGGGGCATTGGGCAAACCTCAGGTAGGCAGATGGGGGTGGACAGCCACTCTCTGCTGGCACCAAGGTGTCAGAGGACATCCAGGATGCTTTCAGGAAAGCACAGATGAGTTGTCTGGCCTATCATCCTACACACCCTGTTTAATTCCTGGGCTTAATCTGCTGGACTGTGGCAAGTTGCAGGCCTAGTTACAGCAGTCGTTCACACTGAGACTTGGAGGCTCTGTTGCAAAAACACATCCTTTCTCAGATTTTCAGCAAGTTACAGTGTACACTTGTTTATCCCCAAGAAATTTAAACACTCTACCAGAAGAGCTTCAAAAAGGAGAGGCTGTAGCTTCCAACCTATTAGCTAAAGGATATGCTCTCTGTCTTGCTAAGAAAGGGCAACCTGTATATTCTACATTCTTTTACTCAGCATTTTTTGTTCTTCAGTGCACTTATAAATAAGGAGTTGTGTCTGGTTGAATCAGGAATTGTGTCAAATTCTGACAACATGAACCTCATAGCTCCCGTGTTGTCAGGGGTCAGCCTTCGGTGGTTTGTAACTATTTAAGGTATTCAGGTCATATATATTGATTGACTGTTTAGACTTGTTTTGGTAGTTAACCTAGCCCTGTAAAAGTACAGTCTTGTACCATTTCTTAAGAACAAGGATAAAGAGAAGTAAAGTGTTTTTCTTACTCTCTTTTGCTTTAGAAATGGTTAGCATTTAAGTCTACAAGGACTAGCTTGTTTTTGCAAATGTCATCAGTTGGCAATCATATTCCATTTTAATGACCACATACTACTCATCATCCTGCAAAAGCAATTGTTTTCTGAAACAAATTCATGTTGATACAGTAGTAAAACAGATTTTATGCATTGAAGACATTATCAGGAATATCCTGCTTTTAATCTTGCTTTTTCCTCTTTGACCCAAACATTAATGCTGTAGGTCGCCTTGGGGAATAAGCTGAAACCACCATGAGCGATCCTGTGAGGATTGGTGGGAGGCTGCATTAGAACCCTCCTGTTCACTGCTCCCAACAGTAGAATGTCAAGTCATTGTTGACAAGAAGCACTGCCAAGGGGATGCACTGCAGGGCCCTGAACTTGTATTCCAGATTGCCTCTGGGCTTGCAGTTCAGATAACTGAGATGCTTGAATGGTTTCTGGGCCTCTAAGGGCGTATTTTGTTAAGTCATGAGATATGTGTCAGCAGTTAGTTGTATTTGCCTCTTTGCTTTGCTTTTCAGCTTTGACTTTTCTGTTTTGTGCCCCGTTAGGGTTTTTTAAATTGCCTCCGAGCTGAACTTTTCGAATATCCAGGCATAGTTGTTTCTAATGTTTGCCCAGGACCTGTGCAGTCACAGATTGTGAAAAATGCCCTAACCGAAGAAGTTACAAAGGTAAAAATTTCTAACTGGGGACTCGTGCAAATGATTTACTACTTAGTGTTAATGTTCTGTCAATAATTAGCAGGGATTTGAGGTCAGAACTGCTTATGAATTACTCATAACACTTAACTAATGGCATTATGAAATTTGTTGACATTAGCTAGTAGTACTTTGGCACCTAGTTTTCATAAAGACTAATGAAGTTGCTGAGATCCCACTTAAAAGTAGTCCATCATTATGTGTCCACTATTAATGATATTTTCACTATTAAGAAACTCCTTTGATCTCCTTCCATTCATCTCCATCATCTTCATGTTTATGGGATTTCATTTGCTAAGTACATGTTTTAATAGTAATTTTGTCACCACAGTGACTAAAAATGAGCATTAGGGCTGGGGATTTAGCTCAGCAGCATAAGCACCTGCCTTGCAAGCAGGCTGTCATGAGTTCGATCCCTGGTACCGATTTTAAAAAAAAAATTAAAAATGAGCATTAAGTACTCATGAAGGGTGCAAGTGTAAGTAAAAGCAAACTTCTTTAAATAACCTGTATTATCTTATCTGGTATCTGTATGATTTTGGTTAGGCTTCTTGAAACATTAGGAAAGTTGATAAGCATCTATCAGCGTGTACAGGAATGTCTACAGGGCATGAGGGGGCACAACTAGATAGCTCTAGGGTCTTTGATAACTTAAAAATTCTGTGAACTAGCTTTGATACTCCGAATTCACTTCATTTTAAATCTTTTCTTAGATTGTGGGCAATAGTGGTGACCAGTCATACAAGATGCCAACTAGTCATTGTGTGCGGCTGATGTTGATCACCATGGCCAATGATTTGAAAGAGGTTTGGATTGCAGATCAACCTTTTTTGTTGATAGCATATTTGTGGCAATATATGCCAACCTGGGCCTGGTGGATAACTAACAAGTTTGGAAAGAAAAGGATTGAAAACTTCAAGAGTGGTGTGGTAAGAGTAATTTATATATTTGTTAGTTTTAATCTTAAAGTATCAAAAATTTTGGTATCAGTTTTAAAGTATAAAATCTTACACTGCGTAAACCCTTCCTAATTAAAATCTTACACTGTGTAAAACCCTTCCTAATTCTCCACCAGTCTCATGATATAAAATGTATTCTATCCCCATGTGTGTCTGACAGGTTACTGTAAAGTGTCACTCGTCGTGGAGAAAACACTTTTCTATTGAAATGATGCCATTTCTCTTCCATGTAGTCTGCCCAGTACATGTGCCACAGCGGTGCCCTTTCCCATTGCTTCCGCTTCTACCTCCTGCCACCCTGCCAGTCTTAGGTCAGGCGTCACTGGCTTCCCTGCCGCTGCTCCCCAGGAGGGAGTGCACCTCAGCCCTGTGTGTTGTTCCCACAGCGCTGCCTGTTCTGCTCCCCCAGGCACACGCACAAGGTGCACTCCCCATGCCGTTTACCTCCTTCCCGAACTATTCTGCATATCACAGAGGCAGCTGTGCCCGCTCTGAGGGGACAGGCTGATCACTTCTTCATCTGGCTTTCATTTTTATAGCAATTAGTGACTGACATTATCAGCTGTTTCTGAGGAAATTGTGACCAGAGAGTTTAATCTGTAAATAACACAGCAAATGGAATGCGTTAATCCCGATTGAAAAATATGATTGTGCAAAGAAAAGTTATTGCTTTGAATGGTTTTTATTAGTAAAGTTACTGCTCTCATTTACCTTGTCACAACCATCTTTTATAACTCAGCAAAGGTGGCTCATATATGAAAAAGAGAATCATGAAAAAGGACCATACTGTATTGTCCTTATATAATTTACTATGTCTGAGCAATCCACTGTAATGTCTTCCACTTCTTAGACATTTAATTTCTTCCAACTTTTTGCAGAACAGTGAAAATGAATTAGCAGGGCAAAAGCAATAAACAACAAAATACTTAAGAGATTTAAGGTCTTGTCAGAAACTTGGGTACACAGTATAAGAACTGATTCATGTTTCTGTCACTCTTACAGGATGCAGACTCCTCTTATTTTAAATTCTGGAAGAAAAAACATGACTGAATGGAACACTTGCAGCTTCTAAGCTACTTCAAGGGAGAAGTTAAAATCATATCCATAGCAACCTGCCTATGTTTTTCAATACAATTTTACTTTCAACATGTAATGAATAATAAAGATGGCCATGAATCTTATACTAATACATGCTATGTTCTTGAATAAACGAATATTGAAAAATGTTTAAGAATATATGTTTATAACCTAGGCTAACAGATATCTAACCAAGGAATTACAGTCTTCTTTTTCACGTAAGTGTTAGTCTAGTGTGCTTCTATACCAAAATATTACAGACTGGATAATCTGTAAATGGTAGAACATTTTTCTCACAGGTTGTTGGGCGAGGGCTGACCTCTGCCTCAGATGTACCTTGTGGCTGTGTCCTCCAGGTGGAAGCAGCACTGCTCCTGCAGGTGGAACTGGTTGTAGGGTAGGTTAACCATGCCTTTCATAAACTCACTGAAGCTCTTTCATAACTCAGTCACCTCCTAAAGGCCATGCTGTTTTGTTTGTGGTTTTTTTTTTTTTTTTTTTTTTAGACAGACTTGCTATATATTTGGGTTGGTTTTGAACTCACTCTGTGGCCCAGATTGGCCTTGAACTCAATGTGATCCTCTTCCCTCAGCCTCCCAAATCCTAGGATACAGGTATTCACCACCATGCCTAGCTCCAGGCTGTGCTTTTACTGTTATTGTGTGTGGGTTAAATTTCAATTTTGTAGAAACAAACTCAAACACTAACCACATAATTAGTAGGTAGGTTGCTTAGGAGGGGGAGGTGAAGAACCGGAATTTCACACATTACAAAGTGCTGGGTGTTAGGTCTGAGAGAAGGGAGAGGAGGAGGGGAAAGAGGGGAAAGAGGTCCGTGGAAGGAGTGGAGTGGACGGCTGTGAAAGTAGTGGGCGGCAGTGGCTTTATTTCGGGAATGCGGGGAGAGGCCCCCCCCCCCCCGCTGGCCCGGGGCGCAGCATCTCTGCTGCACCCGGGGCCATGGTTATTCCGGGAACACGGAGAGAGGAGACTGGCGCACTGGCCGCTGGAATCTGGCGATCTCTCTCTCTCTCGGACACATGGCGTGGGGGAATATAAATAGCCTAAGCTTAGGGCAGTGCCCTAAGGCCATTAGAGATGCACAGGTATTTCATTGGCAAACGTTTAGCGCCAGAAACAGGTTTCTAGGGATGGGGGTATAGGGTTACAAGCAAGTCTATAGGGGCCGGGGAGGCAGCGGCTGTGGCTTTTTCCTGGTTACAGTGTCCGGTCTGGGCCAGCAACTCTGTCACTGGGTAAGCAGCAGTTTTACAAAGAAGTGTGGGGATACTGCAACTTGCAAGGTTTCAGAGCTGCCAAGAGGTAGATTCACAATTAAACTCAGCTCAGGGAAACTGCACTGAGAACTCCTCCCTGCTGGGATAAATCTTTTAACTCTAGTACTTAGCTCTTGCAGCAGAAACAATACCTAAGCTGTAACAGTAAGTTAACAGGGGTAATGGAAGCAACACAGGGCAACAACTCAGAGACAGCCCTCAGTTCAGCTGGGGCAAAAGTGACATACATAAAACAACTATAACAGAGTCCGTAGGCACAGTGGCAGTCATTCCAGTACTGTCCCTTGGCCCTGATGGGACACTGTAGCCGGTAAGGTAAAGCCTTGGAGGCGGAACCAAGGAGCTCCATCTTCCCTGCCCCTAGGAATTTATCTGTAGCACAAAATGAATACCAATGCCCCTCAGGCACCACCCCAAACCTAAGCTACACGTATGCCCCCACTCCACGGACGGAGAGATTGCCAGACCCCAGAGAGAATGCCGGACCACGGTGGGTCGGGGGATCTCTCCCCACATTCTTAAAATAAAGGTCATTTATATTTCATACTTCTTATCTTTTCAGCTGCGCCAGAATTCTATCAAGGAGGAAGACATGATGGAGCTACACCATGAGGGGCACTTAGGTAGAAGCAGTGAAATAAATGTACATACATGGGGGCGGGGGTTTAGCTCAGGGGCACCAGCGCATACCTGGCAAGTGTGAGGTCGAGTTTGATCCCCAGTACCAAAAAATAAAACAAAATAATGCACACATATACACACAGGCCCTGTCCTAGAAGCATACAAGATAATACCATTTACACTGAGAGGTACTGTGATGGTATTGTAATGGTTCCTTGGGGAGTGAGAGAATTGGGGGTATGCTATAGCGATGGGGTGTAATAAAATAGCACTTGCAAAACCAGGGGTTAAAATGACACCATTGTGTCATTGTGATTTATTGTAAAAACAAAACAAAACATTTTACAAAGAAAACAAAAACATTGAAATAATTTTCAAGTGATACAAAATACATGTAATGTGGCTTGGTTCAGACTGATAGCAGAATGACGTGGAGCCCTTCATGGAGAAAGCATGACTTACAAGTAGGCTCCAACAGATGAAGACAGGCTTTCAAAGGTCAGCGGACAGGTTAGTTTGGCTTTACATGTCACTGCATCCCCCATTGTGGGGGATGAGGTGTCACTTTGTAGGCCCAACCCCCTCTAACCTGCAATTTACAATAGCCCCCCTGGTATGCGAGACCGAGGTAGAATAGGAATGCCTGTTCTCAGTGAGATCCCTCACCCTCTGGAATCCATACTGTGAGCTGGCTTTGTTTTGCAGAAGTCTTGAGGAAGTGGCTGGCCACCCTTTGTGACACTAACAGCAGACAAATTAACAACATTCTTGAGCTAATGAATTTCTTCCTGGGCTAGAGAAGTTATGAGAACTGGTTGTGATTATTTACTTCACTTAGATAGTTTAGAATAAACATTGTAGTCTGTCACGTTGTAGCTTGCCACAAAGAATGCCTTTTCACCACTTAATTATCTGGGCTCTGTGAACTGATCGGGTTTACTATATATGAATCTTAAAATAAAGATTGTGCGTGCAGTGCAGTGTAACGCGGTGCAGACAGCAAAGGTGCCGTGTCTCTCCTGTCTTTCTTTTCCGAGCACTGTACCCCCCGTGTCCCGATCAGGCGTGTTTGCGTGTTTACCTTTCCCGGAGTTCAGAGTGCCCTAGACACTCACGACACCCCATGCTTGCCGGGATTGCTACAGTTCTGGTAAGTGCTGTACACTAGCAAAAAGAGCTTTTTTATGTTTGTGTTATGCCTAAATTATATGACCAAAGTACCTGTAACGCTGCCCTGCTGTTCTGTATGCATCTTTTTGTCTGGGTGACCTAACAATCAATGCTCCCTCTGTAAAGAATTGTAAATCCTTGGGAACCTGACCTAATTGATATGTTAACCATTGCTGCCCTCTACAAACAACAGATGTTGACAAAGGATTGTTAATTCCTGCTAGACTACTCTGTCCTCTGCCAAAGGAAACAAAGGTCTTCCTCATTCCTTAGCAGATTTCCTGATCCATGCCTATAACCCCTTACTTTGTAAATTGTGTTTTCTACAAAAGGTCTGGAAACTTTTGAGGGAGCCACTCAGCTTTTGCAAACTCCAACTGCACTGTGTCACTGGGCCCAGGATAAAATAAATCAGCGCAGCTAAAAAATATGTCTTGCCCCATTTTTGGACTCGAGGTTGGGGACTCTGGGGGGCTTGTTTGTGGATTGCAAGATGTAAGGGAGACTTTCTTTGAAAGTCTGAAAAGATGTAAGGGAGACTTTCTTTGCTCCGGGATATAATGAATCAACAACAGAGACTGATTGATACAGGGATGAGAGGAAAAAGGCGTAAGATAATTTTGCCTACCTGTTCTTTCATTTACAGGGCATAAGAGACTGCTGTAAATTCAAATGACACATTTGTTGTTATTTTTATGGCATCAATAATTAGGAAACTATTAGAGGAAAATACCACACATACCCTTTCTGTCTTGGGCTTTTGACCATGATTGAAAAGGCATCTTGTTATAGTCAAGAACTCTAAGAGGCAAGTGGTCACTTAGTATCTTTAGTGACCCTCTCAAATACAAATGAAACTGTGCATTAGAACAATGTGAAATGGGGTGTAGTAGGATTGTGAGTTGCCTTGGTGAGTACAAATGACCAGCAGAAGCTGAGGCTCTAGGATGTTTGCCCAGCACTATACAACTTTGGAGACCACAATCACTTTAGTTTTTCTAATGTATAAATGTAATGGATAAATTTCAAGTATTTCTAATGCATACTCTGGTGTTAGAATTGGTCACTGCATTAGCTAAAGTGTACACTTGGCAAAATCTGACACTTGTAAAACTATGGTATACTTGTGATACCATAACCAAAGTCAATAGGTAATAGTGTCACGATCGCATTCTATCTGGATTTTGGCAATACACTTTTTTTTTTTTTTTTGTCTTTTTCATTTTTATCGGTACCAGCGATCGAACTCATGACCGCCTGCTTGCAAGGCAGGTGCTTATGCTGCTGAGCTAAATCCCCAGCCCCAATACACTCTTGTTTGTTGGCTTTCTGATGCCTTTAAGGAGATTTAAAAGTACTTGTTTTCTTCTACTTGTTGATGTGATGGTTAATGTGAATTATCTACACATTCACCCGAAAGCAGAAAAATGAGTTTCAGAGAAAATTCATAATATCAGGTTTTTATAGATCAGGTGGAGATATTAAGTTAGGTATAAAGGTTCAGTGTTAAGAATTTGGGTTAGTGCCCTCTCAGTAAGTGCCCCTGGCGTGGGCCGGGAGGAGAACCAAGATGTGGCTACCCAAGATGTGGCCATGGTGGGACTTAGGTGGCTGCACAAGAAAGCAATTTGCCTGCCCTCTTAGTAAGCGCCCCTGGCACCATCTGGGAGGAGAACCAGTCAGCTGTTCCTGAGAGCCTACCAGCGGCTTGTGGGCTGAGAATCAAACTCCCCCCTCCACCCCCGTCAGCAACTGGGGAACTGGGAACAGAGGTCTGAGCATCTCTTGGGAGGATGACCATATGCAATATAGCAAATATGGGGGATTTCCTTCTATCTTCTATTTATACTGTTTTGTTTTGATGGTTTTACTATATTCAATATTCTCCTTCAATTGGTTTTATGTTATTGTTTTGAGTTCGCTATACCTAATTGACTGGACAACTATTGTGAAGATAGTACATAGATATACCATAGTACATATTACTACTATCTCGGTATCCTGCTGTGAAATCCTGTACCAATTTCACTGCATTGTCTCAATTGGCTTTGTTTTGTCTTTCCTGTTGTGTTTTTACTACATTCCAAGTAAAATTTTAAAAAAGGAGTTTGGGTTAGATAAAATACTTGCACATCATCAATTAACTGGTAACAGTTTAAGTTTCAAGACAGCTAAACATGTGTATGGTGAACACTGAATAAAAAGGCCTGGAACTAACTGGTAAGAAGTCCCAGAGTTCATAGAGCAAATAGAAGAAGAAAGCAGCAAAGGTGATTGAGGAGTAGCCGGGAAGAGAGACAGAGCACACTGTGGTGCCAGAAAAGCCTGAACACCACCAAGAATACAAGGAAGACAAGAACACAAAGGGGCAAGCTGGTGTGAAGAGTGACCCTAACAAACTTCTTTAGCTGGGAAGCAGTGGAGATGGAACCAGACTGCAATGAATGAAGTTTCCTCTTGGAAACTTGGCCATGAATGAAATGCATTATGGGACCAGTTGATGGAAATGAAAGGTAAAAGGTTGGTGGAAGCCATGGTTTAGTATATCATTAACAATTGTTTATCCTGGTACTGAGGATTGAACCCAGAGCCTTCACAGTGACATCCTCAACCCTTTTTATTTTCAACATGGAATCTCACTAAGTTGCCCAAAGTGGGTTCAAACTTGTGCTCTTCCTGCTCCGGCCTCTCAAGAGTATTGTGATTACAGGCTGCTATGGCTTGGCATTACTCTATTAGTAAGCAACTTAAAATTCTTGTCATTTTGGGGGGGTGGTGAATTCTGTCAATCAGTGGAATGTCATACAATCATTAAAACTGCTCAGAGAATTTTTAACAACATGGGAATATTTTCCTAGATAAGTAAAAAGATGAAAAATTGTCTAGCTAATAATTACATAATTCATAAGCCTTAGATCTAAACTCAATGAATATAAATCATTACCTTTTTAGCTATACTATCTTGTCTGCCCCCAAAAAGATTAACTCACAAAGTCTCAAGAATTCACTAACTAAAAATTAGTCCAAAATTTATTCTTCAACACTGCTGAAGTAAATTGGTCTACATGCTAAAAGAACCTCAAACTATCATTTAAAATAATTTCAATCCACTCTAGCAGGCTCCTATAGATTTCATTGGAAATTAAGGAGTAAATTCAGGTCTCAGCTGACACAGATTCACTGTTCACCCTCCTGGTAAGTACATGCAAAAATACTCCTAAGCATAAAGAATGAAAACAGAGCTTCTAATGATACAAATAGCTTATTATTGAAAGGTAAAAGTGTGCATTTGGCCCGCTTTTGCAGTTTGGTCCTTGAGGTTGTATGCATGATGATAATCAGTTAAACCTTGGCTAGAGTAATTTGGCTCCCGTGTGGGCAGAGAAGACTCTGTTTGACAATGGGCACACACACCATAGGTTCACCACCACTGGCCTAAGGCATCCGCCCTCCAGAAGGCTGTCTAGGAGTCATAAGCACATTACCTTCATCTAGCTCTGCCTGTGCTAGTCACATGATGAATGGAGTAAACTCTGTTTCTGTCACATTAAAAGGATATTTAGAAAAATGTGGTAAGATTTTCTTGGAGAGATTTTATAAAACATTTTAAGATTTCTGAATGGAGGTGTATAAAAAATGAATATATGAAGACATACACGTATGTTAAATGTTAAAGCTAAAATAGTATGACCCTTGAAAATACTGTAAAAATTACTTTTATTTCAAATAAATATAAGCATACATTATACTAGCTTTTGAAAATATCCATTATCATGAGTTAAAATACTGACAAATATTAGTTACGTACAAATTGCAAATCTGTTGATTTGTAAGGTGAGTTATCTACCAAATATTTTACAAAGCATTAAAAAGCTGCTAACAAATGTCTTCTTATATCTACCAAAGCCTACCATGACCCACAGGGCACAAATATTGGCCGACTAATTCCAACTGTGATGTCAGGCATGAAGTTGACTTTGGTTTTGGGCTTCGTGAGCCAATGCTATGGAAGTCAGATTGTGCTCAGGCATCCCTGTGATAGAAGGAAGCCCAGCAGAGCTCCAAGAGTTACGCTGTTCCTTTCCTAGTGGCACCTCCTCTGACGATACCAGTCATACTCTCTCTAACACCTGCGTACTGACAGGGGCTTTGAGGAGTAGATTGGATATCCCAGGGGCGGCTCAGCGGCTTGCACCGTGAGGTTTCTGAGGAGCAGGGGATGAGCTTGGATGCTGTACCGCTCCTCATCGTCATTGGTGGCATATAGCAGTTCCCAGGAGAGATTGGCCCACTGCCCTCTAACAGCTTCAGCGTTTAACTTCCCAACTTGGACCAGTACTTCCTGAAGGGTAAGCACTCTCCCGGTGTAGACTCCCTTTAAAACACAAAAGAGGGAAGATAACTTAGAGAAAAGTCTCATCACAGCTGGACACACTTTCTCCCAAGTTCAAAAAGATGTAAAGTGCTGCTTTAAACTGTTCACATAAGAGCTGCTAATTTGTAGAGTTGGGCTTCGCTGCTATTTTCTTAGCAGTTTGAGTAAGTGTAAGAAAAATTTCCTGGTACCTATTTCACTTACAGAATCTCAGCTACTTCCCTTTCTTTTCCTTTCCTGATCCCTCAATCCATCGAGCCTCAACAATGCTCATGTCTTATGAGTCCTAGGCGGTGGATGATCCTGTAATGGACTAGTTACTGTTAAGTTCAAGGTGGTCATGATCATGTTTGAGATTCGATTCATATTCTATGCAATTTGCTCATTTAATGAGTCACGTCCAGTGTTTTTAGTATATTCACAGGCAAGTGCCACAATCATGATACTTAATTTTAGACTATTTTCATGATTTCAAAAAGAAACTTTGTCCCCTTTGACTGACACCCTTTTATCTCATCTCATTCTCTCAAAACTTAAGTGCAGTTTCTATCTGTAAAGATTGCCTAGTCTGTGAATTTCATGTGGACTGAATCATGCATCGTAAGTAGCTATAACTCTGTGGTCATGACTTAGCATGTTATCAAGGTTCATGTATGTGGCAGCCTTTTCATAGAGGAATAATATTTCATGGTATGGATATAGTATGGTTTGCTTACGTATTTATCAGCTGAGGTAGTCAGAATGCTTCTATCTTTTAGCAATTAGGAGTAATGCTGTTACAAACATCTATACACATTTTTATGTTGCTCTACTCTATCATATACCTAGAAGTAGAGCTGCTATGTCATATAGTAATTCCATACTTAACTATTAGAAAGCTTGCCAGGATCTTTTCCGTTTTACATTTCCAACAGCAGTATGTGAGTCTCAATTTTTCAAGAACCTTGTCGTGACTTACTATAACCTGAGCATATAATTTTAGCCATCCTAGTGTAAAGTGACAGATTGTATTTCTGGTTGTATTTTCCTGATGGTTCATGTGTTCACAGCCATCAGCATATCTTTAGGGAAATGTCTATGCAGATCTTTTACCTATTTTTTAAATTGCATTGTCTACTTACTATAGAGCCCGAGAATTCTTCACATATTCTATGCAGAGGTCCTTTAACAGATTCAGATACGTATAATTATTTTTTCCCTTCCGAGTTGTTTTCCCTTTTTGATAGTATTCTTTGAAGCATTTTTTTACTTTTGATGGTGTATTCTTTTTTTGTGTGTTTCTCATGCTTTTGGTATCAATCTAAGAATCTACTGGTAAGTTCAAGGTCATGAAAATTTCCTATGTTTTCTCCTAAGGTTTTTATGCTTTCAACTCTAACCTAGAGGTTGTGGTGAATTTAAAGTTAACATTTTTAATATGGTGTAAAGGTCTGGTGGTGAAGGTGGTGTAAAGGTCTGGTGAAGATGGTGAGCAGCATCTTCAAAGTCCTGACTGATGGTATCTGTGAATGTGACCTTATTTGGAAAGGTTACTTTGCAGATATGATTAAGGATCTCAAAATGCAATCATCCTGGGTTTAGCTGGGTCCACAAGCCAAAGGTGTTCTGTCATGGGATACAGGGAAGAGGGCCTAAGAAGATGGAGAGAAAGACTAGGGTTATGATGCCACATGCCAAAGAATGTTGGAAGGAAGGGACAGGGAAACACCGGGGTTATTGAACTCATTACCATTTACTATTATTAACGATACAGGTGGCTTTTGTCATTTCCCTTCTGTGTTGCACGGCTGTGTGTATTGTATGTATGTGTGTGTATCTCTATTCCTCCCTTACTTTCTTTTACATCACATAAATATTTTTAAGCTGGCACTTTAATGTCTTTATGGTTTTTTCACTTCCTTTTCCCAGTCAATTGTTGTGTAGTTTGCCATTTGTCTTATTAGTCAGCTTTTAATTTATACCAATATCCACTGAGACATAAAAATATTACTCTTGTATAACTGTATCCCCTTTTTCCTCTGATTTTATGGTTATAATACTGCAGCTATAAATGTCAAAATACAACAATGCATTTTTATAATTATTACTTTACATAATTATAGTACTTCAGTAGCACATTTATTTTACATAATTGTGTATCTTTTAAAGAATATATGAGAAAGGAAGCACTTGTCTACTTATGAGTTTTACTATTTGTAATTCCTTTTATTCTTGTAGATGCAGGTTATCATTTAGAGTCATCTCCTTTGCCCATACAGCTCCGCCCCTATTGATATCCTTTGTAAAAGTATTGATAAGTATATTGCATTTCTGTGCATTACCTATTCCTTTATAAATCTCTTTTCAACTCTGGAAAGGAGGTATGCATTGACACTCTTTTATAATTACACAGTTACCAAAGCAGGTCCTCTGTGTGTGTGTGTGTAGGGAAGGGCTCATACATGCATTCAGCCAGAAGATTTCTTGAGTAATTCTCATAGGCAGGACAGTATCCATTTTTGTTTACCTGGGAATCCCCTTATTACTTCAATTTTTCAAAAATTTCTCTGTGGTACTCTTAGTTAACAGTTTTTCCAGGGTTTCCTTAAAATTTACCTATCATTTTGCCTGATGCTTTTAACATTCTGCCTGGTTTCTGGCCTCCAGCATTTTACCACGATGCACATGTTTGTGGATCTCTTCATGTTTATCCTAAAGTTCACTTAGTTTCCTGGTTGTGCCATGTTTCTCAATAAACTTGGGAAGTTTTATGACAATTTCTTTTCCTTGTTTCTCTGTCTCCTCTTATCACACACCATTATTTTTACATTCGTGACATTAATGTTGTTCCATATTTCTCTGAAGCTCTTTTCTTCATTTTTCTCTCCCTTTGGATTACATAATCACTATCTGTCTAAAATCTTCAAGTACACTGATTCTTCTGCCAGTTCAAATCTCTTAAATTTCATTTTTTATAATTTATAATTTCTTTATTGACATTCTCTATTGGGAATGAGATTGTTATCAGAATTCAGTTTTGCACAGGGGCAGTATTATAGCCAATGAGGTTTACACGAGGTGCAACTACTGCTAATTGAAAACAGAATTGTCTTAATTATGGTTTTTTTTTTTTTGAGGTATATAAACATATTCCTTTACTTTGAAATACTTGTTACAGCTGACATCTGGTTGCTCTCACAGGCAATTTCTGTTAACTGCTATTTTCCTCTCATGTATGGGCTAGACTTTTCTGTTGTATGTCTCGTAATTCTTTATTGAACATGAGGTATTTCAGATAGCACTGCAGAGACTTTGGGCACTGCTTCTCATCCTCTCTTAATCCCTATTCAGTTGTCTATTTCTTTAGTGAATGGTTTGGTTAATTCAAGTAAAAGTAATCCCTGCCTCAGTGATCCTCTACATCTCCCTTGTTTGAAATCCCAGATATGGCTTTCCCGGAAGTGCAGCCCCCCACAGGATATTCAGTTACTCTAGGAGAGCAATAGTTTTGATAGGTGTTATGCTTTAGGTCTAGAGTGTCCCTGAAGCCTCACTCTGGATGGTGACAGGAACATGGCAGTAGTTCAGCTCACTTGCTTTTAGGAGGTGGGGGTTGGCTGGAGGTGTGCTGAGAGTGTAACCTAGAAAGGTTTATCATCCTCCACAACCTCTTTTCCCTCTCTGCCTCTGGCTGCAGTGAGGGGAGCAGCTGTCCTTCATCAAGCCCCTTCTATCATATTGTTTCTGCATTGCAGCCACCTGAAAACTGGCTGAAAACACAAGCAAAATAAACTTCCCTCCTTTAAGCTGTGAATGTTGGGCATTAAGAGACTAAACCCTCAGGGCACTCTGTCAAGTTCCACTGCTTACCAATATTATTTTCAACAACTTGAGGCATAAATTGTCACACACATGGATCCAATCAAATTTGGCTCCTTTAAAGGGATTGCTTTGGCTGTCAGTGCCTGACCTTTGTTAGGACCTGGGAAAAGCTCTTCTTTAGTGTTCTTTCCTTGGTCCGCTTTGTTACTCTAGCCAGTTTACTTTTCACCACAGTCTGCTTGCTTTAGAGAGCATGTTGGCTTTCAAAGTAGCCACCCAATTACAAATTAATCACTTCTTTGGGGAAGAGTTTCAGTGTTTTTTTTTTCCTTCTCCTACAGGGTAAAATCTTTTGAGGCAGCTCTGTGTGAGGAGGTAGAACAGAAACTGCTTGAGTAACACCTCTGCTTTAGAATATAAAAACTCACTGGAGCAGAGAGGAGTCTCCAGTCTTGCAATTTATTTCTGCCAGTGTACAGCTTCTATTTCTGAAGTAGCAAGCATGATCTAATGTTCTCAGTGCTGACATCCCCAACACGAAGCCCTCATCCTAAGAACAGGGTTGCCAGAAGGCCGACCCCAACTCTTGATTACACATGACTGGAATCTAACCTCAGCATAGCGAGAAGGAGGAAAAGAAACACTTCTCCCATCTGGGAGCAGAGGGTCAGGCTGCCCGGTGTTCTTGGGGCCTCCAGAGTGGAGCATTTCTTTCCTGGAGTGTTGGTTCTAATTCTGTTTTTTTGCTGTTTTTACTGGGTTTTAGATTTTCCTGAAAAAAACATTTATTTCTTCATTTGCCCTTTAGACCACTTGAGAAAATTTCAACAGTTACTTAAATGTTCTTTTTTATCAGTGTTATAGGGGACGGCATTTGTGTAAGTCCTCACACACTAGTACTAGCAGACTTGGAACTCCCATTAGTTTATAACAGTGAATCTTTCACATTGCACACAATCAGTGCAATAAGGAAGAGAACTACATCTTTAAAAAGTCATCTTTTTCCAGACTGTATGCATTCTGGTTAAGTTTGCTTCAAATAAAATGCAGATGTCATCAAAAGAAATAACTGCCACTAACAAACTTATTATTTTTCTAGAAGTCAAAACCAAGTAAGCATTCTTACCTTTGAACTAGGCATAGTAATACAAGTCATTTTGTCAAATATGCCACAGCAAATTACATGTATTTGACTACCTTACAGGTCAGTTGTGCACAGAGGTTATACAGTATTGTTAATAGCTTCTTACTCAGCTGGGAAAAGTAAATGAATCAGCTATTCTAGGGATGGACTATCTTGATCAGGTCATGATTAAAACTGCTGTGCGACTGTAACTGACATATTAGTAACTAGAATGTTGTATGTCTACCACCTGATTCAAATATTTTTAACTTTCCAATCATTAAGGTTAATGTAAGAAAAGGTTTAAAACACTTTTAACCTTACCATGTGAGGGTCATAGCCCAGAGCGAACAAGCACGGCTTTTCTTGTAAAACTGCTTCCTTCCACTTTTCCTCTGATACTAAACCAATGTACCAGTCACTTTCATATTCTTCAAGGTATCCTTTTAGCTCTTTAAAATCTTCTATTGGACCTAAACTTGCTTTATCAACCATTAGTTTTAGAGTATATCTGAAAAATGGAAAATCAAACAATTTTTGAGAATTTTAAAATCAACTCTGTATGTGAAATAGATTTGATCAGTATTTTTAGGATGGAACTGAAATCATCCAAATTTGAAACAAAGAGTTGAGGGACAAATGAAATAGTAATAGTGAAGAAACTCAGCCAGGCCACATGAAAAATAGCTCCTTTACACAAACAAAAGCCAAGGAAGCAGAAATTAAGGAGTACCACTAATAAAACTACAATGTATGTTAAGCATTTTTCATTCTTTGAGAATGAATGTAAAAAGAATAGAACTGAAATCGCGCCCCCTAAACAACATAAAACGTTTTTCTATCCTTGCCAATGTTACAACATGCATCCAGAAGGAAATCCAGTTACCTGAAGGCTTTCAGAGCTAGTTGGAATAGTTCTGGTTTTACTACAAGCCAATCCAAGGCACTAGACCAGGGCAAAATGCCATTGTAAACTCTTACTATATGGCCAGCAGTAGGAACCATATTATCCATTCCCAATAGGCCAAAATAACAAGTCATTACTGTATGAATGTAAAAGTCCTTTAAAACTTTGTCCTTTGCAATTTCTTCCAGTGCAGTTGAGGCCATTGCTTCCAAGTGAAAACATTTTAACTGACTTAAGACGAACTGGTACCAGTCTTCAGGAAAGAGGGAGCTCATCTCTTCCATTTTGGAGCGGGGCAGACAGCTAGGCCTCCACTCTTCAGGTACGCTCACTAAGTGAGAGTGGGAAGAACCCAACTTGCCGAGAGGGACAGCAGCCACGCTTTCCTGCTTTCCTCTGTCCACAGCTGGGTATCCCAAGAGAACTGCTCTGTACAGACTGTGTGCAGAAGTGGTGCCTGCAGGAAGATCAGCAACCCTCTCTGAGTCTACTGAGCCTGGAATAGGCAAGGCTGCACCTGGAAAATCTTTCAACCAATTGTTTCCTTCTTTTCTTTTTTCGACCTTTGGTTCATCATCAAAAATATCATCTGACCAGTCATCGAAAGTCTCCGATTTAAAACTGTCTGTGTCTTCTGGAGATTTGAGATGTGGTGAAGTTTTCAAAGGAGGAAGATCTATCTGAGATGTTTCCTCTTTACTTTCAATTTTGTGAAAATTCTCCTGCTTCTTGGGCCTTCTGGAGCAGTACTGAATGAGGGTGAACACAAGCACTTTGATAAGGTCACCTTTAAAACTGCTTAAATTTTCATGACAATCAATGATGCCAGTTAGCACATTCCTGGCATCAGAATATAGTTTCACAGGCAAAACAGTACAGGGTGTCAAGACATTCCCAAAGTGTTCATTAAGGGAACATACTCTAGGGTATTCTTGTTCAAAAGCACTTTCAAAAAGTTCATCAACTCTTCGGGCTTCAGCAGTATGACAGGATGTTTCTTGCAATTCTAAACCCTAATAAGAAAATTAGAAAATACTTGAGATTATAATCATTTACTACATAGAGAACAGCAACTGGTCTTGTAAATACCCATAGATTCTTGTAATAAAAATGACAAAAATTTCTTTAGCTCAAGAGCTACACCTTAATGACATCTAATATTTCAATACTGGATAGAGACTAAAAGTAATGATGCCACTATTTTTTTTTTTATCTTTTTCGTTTTTATCGGTACCAGGGATTGAACTCACAACTGCCTGCTTGCAAGGCAGGCGCTCATGCTGCTGAGCTAAATCCCCAGCCCCGATGCCACTATTTTTAGAGGTATTATATTTCCGCTAAAGGCAGGTAAGTAATTTTATTAAATGTGAACATAGTTTTAAAACACTATCAGTTGTAAAGGTTGAATCACACCAAAATGTGAAATCAGAATTTTGGGGGAAAAGGCAAAGTGGATTTATAAAGTATGTTCAGTAGTTTTGTATCCTTTCTATCCCCCTTCTTAGGAGACTAAGAGTATTACAGTATTGTATGGAGGTGTTATAATTTAATCACATTCTTGTTAAAGTTTTAAAATAATGATATACATGTTGCTGAAGTGAACACTTAAATAACAAATAATGATATACATTTATTTATGTAATTACTGTCTGTGTCATTCAATTGTAACATAAACTACATAAAACAGAGGTCTTTTGGTTACTACTGTATTCTCAGTGCTTAAACCAGTACCTGATACAAAGGAAGTGTCAGCAGATAAATGTTGAGTATTATGAATATGTTCTTACATGAATTTTAAACATATTTTGGTAACTACCTTAGAAAGAATCGTATGAAAAGGACATCAAAGCTCACTATTCACTGTTATTATTATTAACTTATTTATTTCAAAAGTATCACGGTCTTCAGGACATGTTTTTAACGTCATGGCTTCACCAGTTGCTTACATACAACTTAAGTAGGTAACCCAATCTGTCATGTTCCTTTTCTCTTTCTTTCAAAGAAAACATTTATAAACATATGTACTGAGATTAGTTAAGTTTAAGCTCTGCAAAATTTAAATTTAGTAAATGAAACAGTCTAAAGAAAGCTGGAAAAATAAAAAAGACTGCTATTAAAAAGTGTGTTTTTGGGCTAGGGATTTAGCTTAATGGTACAGCACCTGCCTGGCAAGTATGAGGTCCTGAGTTTGATTTCCAGTACCAAAAAAAGGTGTAGTGTATTTTTTAGCATAAAAAATGATAAAAATATGCACATTATTATATATTATCAAACAATAGGATTTTGATGGAATAAATTTAAGCAATCAATATACCATTGGTCATTTGTATGGATAATTCTTGGACATGTAGAAGTCAGACTACAGCAGAGATTGTCAAACCCTAGGTGAGTTAGAATCATGGGGCACTCTCTTTACAACTGACTTCCAGACCCACTCCCAGGTTCTAATTGGTAGGTCCACTTCAAGGCTGATTAATTTTCATTTCAGCCACGCATGCTGGTGCACCTGTAATTCCAGCACTCAGGAAGCTGAGGCAAGAGGATTGCTGAGAATTCCAGGCCACCCTGGACAACATAGTGAGTTAGAGCCTCTCTGAATTACACAGCAGGGCACTCTCACAAAAAAAAAAAAAAATTAAAAATTGGTTATCTACTTTCCTGCTAATGCTACATGTTGGGGCATACATGTTGAGATCACTGCTTGAAAGGGACAGCTTTTGGGTCAGCAGTAATTTCATCAAACCTGTACTAAGACACAAAATTGACTCATTTATTCATACAACAGATTTTCTTAATGGCCTGTTCGGTGCCAGGCACTGTGTCAGGCACTGAGGTCCAAGTCACGGTGACATTTACATTAGACAACAAGGGTCATCAAGGGCACTGAGTCATAAAACCACTAGTAAACCACTTGGTTTGTTAGAAAGCATAAGCGCTATGAGAATAAGGAAAAGGTGAGGCAAGCCCAGGTGTGGGATTGCTGGGGCAGGACTGGGACTGTTATCTTCAACATGCTGCCCACAGGAGACCAGACCCAGCAGTGGATATTTGGGCACAGTCTTGAAAGTGGAAGGGAGTTGGCTAATGTGATTCGCTGAAGGAAGAGCGCTGCAGACAGAGGGACAGCCAAAAGGCCAGAGTGAGTGAGGAGTCAAGCAGGGAACACAGTGCCTGCCCAGTGAGGGCCTGGACTTTTACCCTGAAGGAGGGAGGGGGCACTGTAGGGGTTGAATGCAGAAGTGACATGATCTGAACTGCACTGAAAACATTGTTGTTGCTGACAATATATTGTAGGGGCAACAGTGAGAAGCAAGGAGAGCAACTGAGAAGCCACTGCAACCATCTGGGCAGGAGACGCAGGGAGCTGAAGACAGGTGGTGAACATGATGGGATACGGGATGCAGCTGAAGGCAGTCAACAGGATTTCTTGTATAGAAACAGACAAACAAAACAGAGTCAAATGTGAATGCATTACTATGGGCTTGGGCAACTAGTAATTTAGCGCTGTTTCTAAGGACGATTAGGTCTGTGGCACCGTGATGTGAAGAAAGGGGAAAGAACCATCAAACATCATTGACTAGAAGCGGCTGTGAAGCAGAACAGAGGGGAACTCTGTCAAGTGCTGCTCAGAAGTTAAGTGACATGAGTTTAAGAACTGCCTGCAGGATTTAGCACTGGGACAGTCAGTAGAGAACCACAGCATTTCTGGTGGAATGACAGCATCAGCAACCTAGAGTGATGGGAAGACATACTAGAAAATGAAGAACTGGAGAAGACAATAAGCAACTCTAATGAGGCATTTTCCTCTTAAAAGACAGGCACAAATGGGGTATAGCAAGTAGGGGCAGAGAGGTGAGGACATAGGCTTTATTAAGCTGAGAATGATTACATAGAGGATAGAGGAGCTGAAAACATTACTCATTCCCACTGTTGAGATTCCCAGATGCCCACGGATTAAGCCGAGCATCCACAGGAGTGGAAGGAAAACGAGCAGGGATACAGTCAACACTACTCAACTATCAGGACGTGCAATATACTGAAGTATCTTTCAATATGCTAACTGGACTATAGCTTTAAAATTTCAAGGACCTTTCACAGGTAATTTTCTTTTCTTGTGGTACTGGAGATTGAAGTCTCAACTTTGCACTTGCCAGGCAGGTGCTTATGCCATTAAGCTAAACCCCCAGCCCCTTCACAGGTAATTAAAAAGATATTCTTTCTAACTGAGTTATTGTTTGATGTGTACATACCAAGTAAAATTTTACACATGAGCTATAAAAAGTACTAGGTAAGATTCACATGCACATTGACCTTAATGTTAATACAGCAGTATGTATAACCACATTCTAGAATCATTATCCATATTAAACGATCCTGAAAACGGCCCAGGTAATGAGATCCAGGTAAGAGGAGACCTAAAACAAATTAGAAAAGAAGAAATCATTCTTTAAGCTTGTTTTATTTTGCCGTATGATTCTTCAAAGTCGTGGACACAACTAGAACTGATTCACAACTCCTGCCTTCTCAATTGGGCAATAATGAACAAAAATAGTAATTCATTATCTATCAGGGGCAGTAAATTAAGCATTTCACAAGTTGGAATGCAAAATGTACTCTGACAATAAATATACTGTGCATATAAAAGGTTAAATTCATGTTAAGTTAGAAAAAATATTAAACATATAAGAATTCCACATCGATTAAAAAGATTTTAGACATTTTCATGTAAGTACATATAAATACATAACTACTTTGTTTTTAAAAATTTACAATCTACAAATATTTTATAACTTAGTTTTCCTTTCAAAATTGTTACCTCTTGAGATGTACTCACATTAACTGCAAATGACCAAAGTTCATTTATCATAACTGCTCAGAATTCACTATATTAATATAACGAGTATAATTCCCTGTTAATAAACATTTCAGATGTTTCTGATTTTCACTAGTATAAGTCACCCTTGTGCAAGTCTGACTGTATAACCCACGGTGCAGAACAACTGCACAGCAGGGACAAGTGTTATACTTTCAAAGCTGCACATACAGGATGGGCGCTGGCAATCATCAGGAGGCACTCCACGGACAGGAGCCTCTCTGGGTGCCTGTGCAAACAATGCCCAAAGTACTGAACGTCAGCTTTCTGTTGGGAACCTTAATAATGACATGCACTAGAAAAACAAGGAATATGCCCAACCAGCCTGTTTTCTCTCTTGATGGATCTAAGCTGTTGCATCTACTTGACATGACTCATTATAAATTCAGGGAAATCATGGGAGTTGGTTTTTTTTATATTTCAGTGATGGGTCTGTCTGAATATAAAAAGGGAAAAATTTTAAATATGCTTCAATCACCTTAATGAAACATTCTCAATGTACTTTTATTTTATGCCCTTATCTCAAAAAAGGTAGAAGAAATATCATTCTATTTCAGATACAATCTCTCTGCTTACACATCAAAGTACTGGAACCTGTTTGCTGATTGGAGGGGAAGACTGCTTTTGTCTGTGGTCTTTTTGGACTTTGCATTCATAAGGATTCCTGAAGCACAGCTCACTGACTTACCGAAACTTCCAGCTGCCATGGCAGCCTGCAGCGAGGCAGTCAATCTGGGGACCATCTGGTCATAGTACACAGTGTCTGCGCACACACATGCCGCGGTGCCCACAGTTCCTGGCCAACTCTGGGCAGGTCTGGGAAAACCCACCAGGAACACAGGAAGAGTGAAGAGGGGGAGCAAGGGAGAGGACAGCAATGTAGAAAAAGCTATGATGACCAACACACATGGGAAGAAGATAATGTTGAGTGTACATAAAGCAGTAGTTGTTGTTCGATGTTGTTTTTTCTCCATCCATGATGCTAAAAGTACAGTCATAGCAAACTGCAACTTATAGATGAACTGAATTAGACGGTCACACATGATACCAACCTGTAAACATAAAAACAAGTGTTACTTACTCCTAGATGATTTTTATGAATTTTCAAAATCACATAAGGAAACTCAAATTTTGTTACTTTCCAATTTTTTTTTTTTTTTTTTTTTTTTTTTTTTTTTGGTATTGGGAATAGAACTCAGGATCTTCCACTTGTCAGTCAGGCGCTTACACAACTTAGCTATATGCCGTCCCTTGCTGAGATATTTTTGAGGAAATAGCCCTCTGATTCTTTTTCATTCTTTGTTTTGTTTTGTTTTCTGGGATTTTTTGGTTTGTCTGTTTTCTGCATACTGGAAGAACCCAAGACCGTCACACTCAGCTACTTCCCCAGTCCTTTATTTTTCACTAAGTCACTAACTGGCTCAGGTTAGACCTGATCCTGTAATCTTCACGCCTCAGCCTCCCAGAGTGCTAGGATTATAGTATACACCACTATGCCCAACTTATATGTACTTTTTTGTTATAATTTTTACATTCTCAAAATTAAGAAATGAGACCATATTTTACACATTTTTTTTTTTAAAGTTAACAACGAGAGAAGTGACATGATTCTGCTTTTACCTTAAGGGTAAACAACTGTATACCAACAAATTGCATAACTTAGATGAAACTGACAAGTTCATTGGAAGACATAATTACTGAAAGGAGTTCAAGAAGCATGACGAAATCTCAACCGATCAATTATAAGAGAATGAATTAGTAATTTAAAAACTTACAGAGATGATAATTTCAGAACTTGAGAGGCTGAAGCAGGAGGACTGCAGTGAGTTTAAGGTCAGCCTGGGCTCCACAGTGAAACTTTGTCTCAACAACTGCCCCCAGAAAACCTCACAGACAAAACCTGAGTATCAGATGGCTCCCACATTTGAAATTATACACTGAATACTCCAAAACATTTCAGAATAATTAATACTAGTCCATCATTAGTTCTCCCAGAAAATAAGGGTAAGAAATACTTCCTAACTCATTATATGTAGTCCTGATTGTAAAGTAGAAAATAACATCATAAAGAGAATTACAAACAGTCAAGGACACAGACACATGCCATCCTATGATTACAGATTACAGAGAGGAAAGGACACTTCTGATTTTATAGGGATCTGATACCTAAGTCAGAGAGTAACACTGTAAAGAAACACAACTACAGACAGATGTACATATATACGTATACCTACACTCACACATAAATTCTTTTTTTTGTTGTTTGGTACCAGGGATCGAACTCATAACTGCGCACTTGCAAGTCAGGTGCTTATGCCACTCAGCTAAATCGCCAGCCCCCACACATAAATTCTTACAAATATCCATAAAACAGACAAAATACAAGCCAACTGAATTCTGCAATATATGAAAAAGATTATATAACATGACCAAATGAGATTTATTCCAGAAACGCAAAGCAGATTCAAGAACCAAAATTCAACGACACGCTACACCACATTAATATGTGAGGGCATTCATAATTCCAAACACCCATTATTTGCTCCTTTTGTTTTCCCTGTAACCCTGCAAACCTTAGTCCTATCAAAAGCTTCACTTCTGTTATAATTTATAGATTACAGTCTAGGTGCTTAGCTGGCAATTAGACATTAGACATAAGCAAGCTGAACTTTGGCCAACCTCCTGAAAGGCCTCCTTCCCCTTAATTGGCCATGAACCACGAAAAGGGGAACAAATGGTTTTAATTCAATGTGGACAAACTGCCCGATATTCACCTCCCATGTGTTAATTAACCAGATGTGTAAAAAGGTCTTGTAACATTCCAAAGCAATGATAGTGCTACAAAAGTGGTATCCATGGCAACCCCCTGACCTTGTGAGCTCAGACATGACTATATAAGGAAAACAGAACAACAGAATTGAGATCAGCAGCTTCAACTGATTGAATTTGCTGCTGACTGCTGCCACTCCAGAATAAAACTCACTTGTTTCTTGACTCTTGCATTCTCATAGGTAACTCACTCATGTGTGCCAATACAAATACACTAAAAGACCAATACCAGATTGACATATCAAAAGACACTGAATATCATTCAATAAAATCTGCAACTTTCTTGGAAAAAACACTTAATAACTGGAGGGGAATTGCTCAAGCAGATAAAACACAACAAATATCTAGCAATGACACTTAAGGGTAAAAGAACAACAACATACTTCATGGAAAAAGACTGATTTCTGAAATAACCACTCTCATATCTTCTATTCAACACTATATATACTAGAGTTGTAGTCACCATAATTAAGAGAAACAAATTAAAGTTCCAAATGAAAAAGTAAAACTGTGTCTACTGAAACTGTGCCTCATCTCATATGCAGAATATCTTAAGAATCCAATAAATGTCATTAGAATAAAGAGGGCAGTAAAGCTTCAGGACACAAGATTAATATACAAAGTCAATTATATATTATAGGTTAGCACAAAACCAAAGGATGAAATAAGATAATTCCATTTATAATATCATCAAAAATAATAATATACTTAGGAATAAATATATTAAAAGAAGTGTAAGACTTTTACACTGAGAACTATAAAGCACTAGTGAAATAAACTAAAGATACAAATAAATGGACCTTCACCTCCTAGAACACGAACATTTCATGTATTTAAGTGGAGGAAGGAGTACCTCTAAGATACTAGTATTTCTCAACTTGACCTACAGCTTTAAGGCATTTCCTGTAAACACTGTTAGCATAAATTTACAAGATGATAGTAATTCACTGATACCTTGGTACTCAATTACTTTGAAACATATCAAATTTGACAGTTGGTGCTTTCTGTCACAAAAATTTTGACCCAGGACTTTCCATTTGTTTGATACTTGACACACAACTAGAACTTGTCAGCCTTGCTTGCCTCCTCACCTCCTGTCCTTCCCAGCCAAAACAATTTGGTGTGTGTCACCTCTCCCAGAACCAAGTGCTAATGAGTACCAAGGTACCACTCTTATTTATACAGCAGTGTAAGGGCCTTGGGACCATCATGATGGTCTTGAAAAAGGGCAAAATTGGAAAACTAACCCTTCCCAACTTCAAAAACTATCACAAGGTTACTATATACAACCAAGGTTGTGTGGTACTATCATAAATACAGGCATATAGGGGAACAGAGAAGAACTCAGAGTATTCCAGAAGCAAAGCCTGAGTTGAGTTTTGAACAACAGTAGCAAGAAAAGCCACCTAGGACAGGACAGTCTTTTCAATAAAAGGACAGCAGTATGCCATATCCCAATGAATAAATGTGGTACTCTATCACCTATTATCACTCATAAAAGGGAACTCAAAGGTGATCACAGATCCACATACAAAGTTAAAACTTCAAATTCTATGAGGTGAAGAATAAATCTTCATGATATTCAAGGAAAAAAGTTTTTCTTAGGACACCAAAAACAAACAATAAAAGAAAAATGAGAAATTAAAATAAAAGCTTTTGTGCCTCAGAGGACATTTTTCAGAAAATTAAAGATAACCTACAGAATAGGAAAAAATATTTGCCTATTTTGAGTATTTCCCAAGGGACTCATCTCTAGAATTATAAACTGGTACTACTTAACAATAAAAAGAAAACCAGTCCAAATAATAAAGGATTTCAATAGACTTTTCTCCAAAAAGCATATATGAATAGTCAGTGAATACATGAAAAAGTACATCGTTAGCAATCACAGAAAGACAAAACAAAAATATAAGATAGTAATTTATATCTATCAGTATGCAAGACTGAAAAAAGTACTGGGAGCTGGAAGATGTGGAGGAACTGGAATGCTGATCACTTACAGTGCAATGGGATATAATATACTATAGCTGCTTTGGAAAAGTTTTGTAGTACCTCAAAGATTTACATACAGAATTACCCAAGAGAAATGAAAATGTGCATTCAAAGCTATGAACAAAAATATTCACAGCAATACTCTAAACAGTGAAAAAACAAAACAACAAAATGACCATCATTGGAATGAATCAATTAAGAATGGCATATCTATACACTGGGATATTTTGGCAATAAAAAGAATTAAAAATTATTACATACTATGGCATGAATGAACATTATAAACACAGAAGTGAAAGAAGCCATATGCAAAAGACTGCATATTTGCTAATTCATTTAGGTGAAACGTCCAGAAGGGGAAAACTTTTAGAAACCAAAAGTAGGTAAGTAGTTTCTGAGTCTGGAATGGTTATGAGCAAGATGGAGAGTGGGAATGGTGAATAACCAGTAACATACATGAGGTTTCTTTAGGGGACGTTAAAAACAGGTTGTGGCAATGGCTACAAGACTGAATATCTACCAATGAAGACTATACTTGGGATGAATTCTGTGTAGGTGATTATCACTCAATCAAGCTGTTAAAATGAACTTACCAATAGGAGTCGTATTCCTGTATTTAGGCTTCTGTTCCACCATACGTCAGTACTGGAGATCAGTGAGTGAACTGTTGATACAATGGCTGTCTCCAGCAAAGCGTTTTCTGTATTCTGCCACACCTGCAGCATAGAAATACCTACTTTTATCAAGCAGAATATGATAACTAACCTAAATAAACTGTTAGGAGTTAAACAAAAATCAAGAGTCACACTTAGCAACTGGAAAATACTAGTAAGTACACAGTAGGATTACCATTCGAAAGGCTCTTGTGAATCCAATGGAGACAGACACAGAATGGAGCCCCTGTAAGGAATTATCCAGGGAAAGAAACGCTATCAGAGCCAAAGGTGACACTAAAAACAAAGGAAGACACAGCTTTAGTTAAGGCAAAGTAATGTAGTTTTTTTTTTTTTTGGCAAATAAGGTTTTTTATTTATTAGTACAAGTAAGCAATTAACTGAAAACCTAATAAAAACAAGACAAATAAGGGCTTATATGCAACGTAAAAGCATCCTATGTACAAACACTGGAGAGACATGGTTTGTAATATCAGGTTGTTAGAATTAATCATCATACCTACAGTTAGCAAAATCCGTCTGACAACACCGACCTTCAGGAGCTTTGCTTGCTTCCCTAGAAATACAGCCACAGTTCGCACATCCTTTGGATAGAAGGGGTTTCGGAAAATTCCCAAAATATAGATGCTTTGAATTTCTCTGAGTATCCACAGTACTATAAATAATATCAGCACAATGTGGCCAACAATAGCCTGGGAACTGCTTTTGGAAATCTGTGAGAATCCAGCGAAGTGATGCAGCAGACTAGTTTCTAAGAGAGCCAACACTAACACAGTGACGTGCAAGAGGATCTCTTTCCAAGGAAAGCATCTTTCTGAAGCCCCAGATGAAGTCTGCGCTTTGGTTCCTGCTCTGTTTCTGGTCATACTGTGTCTGACAGCAAAACTTATATCACTCAGATTAAGACTCAGTAAGAAACCAAGTCCAGTCATGAAAAGAACCGCACCAACAGGGCTGGGAATAAAATACGATGTTACAGCTGTTCCAGTGGAAATGATGAACATTATTAACAGCCTGCAGAGGAAAGGAAAAAAAAATATGTCCTTGAAAAGAAAAGGGTTCTCCAAGAGGAAGTCACACATTACAATGATGTTTTTGAATTACCGTAGGTGTGTTGACATGGATGAGCCTCCAAGGCCAAACTCTAAAACCTGCTCCATTGCCCATAAGAAAAGAGCATCAGGTGGGGGCAGGGTCCCAAATGCCCACAGGAAGGGTAAAAATACAAACAAGATGTGCAAAATCTGATTCACATGCTGGAGAGCTGGTGTATTTTTAATAAGCCTACAAGAAAAAGATGACATTTAAATCATACAAAGTAGTGTAGAGAAGAGGCTCTTTCCAGGAAAAAAAATAAAACAAAACCACACATGCCCCTAAAATACACAACACTTAGGAAAGTTCTAATCCTGATTCGTAAAAGCTCTATACATCCTGTAACTACTGTCCTTCCCCTAACCCAGCAACCATCTCTACTCAATTGTGAACAAGTTTAGCATTTAGAGGAAGAAAATGCAGACTCAAACAAGCAAATGAGGAAGAAACAGTTAAAAAGCCATCACAGAATAGTAATGAAATTGAATGCAGGGATTTGTAAACTAAAATATTTCTCCTTTAAATCTAATCTATACTGGCTGAGATCTACCAAGGATTCCACAGACTTGAGGACTTTAAAATTTAAAACTGCAAGTCACTGTGGAAAACCTTAGTAACACTGACCCATTAGTAGTTTGGACAAGAAAAAGCTGTTCTCCTCTTCCTCTCCTTACTGCTCTGCTGACTGTCAGCATCTGGTGTCAGCAAGTCAGCTTATGACTGAACTGTGGGTCACCCTGGAAACGTAACTAGCCTGTGTTGTAATTCTATGTTGTATAAGCAGGGGCCTGGTTTGAGGAACCCAGGTTATGTGACAAAATTTCCTCACAGAATAGAAGCTGCCTCTCCCTAAGCAGAGAAACTGACTCTTGGTATAGCACTTCCAGTTCAATGACATTATTAATCTGAATGATCATTTAAATTATTCATTTAATAAACATTTAAAGCATTAGGAAAGTCAAGGAAAACATGCAGATTTCTACAGGTTTTTTTTTTTAAGACACATTCCTGTTGTAAACATATTCAAAGGAAGGATATTATGTATGAAAAGAATGTATGCTCTGAAAATTAATTTCATCATATTCTAAATCTTTTTGTGTTTAAATGTAAGTAGTAGCACAGTATTTATATACTAAATAAATTACACATGATCAAAATTAGAAAGTACTGATTATTCTGTGTGTGTGACTTAGCTCCAAATAGGTGATTATTTTTATTAACTTTTGTATGAAAATACATATTAATCTACTGTTTCTGACAATATAACAGTAAGTTTTGCGGGCAATAAGATTTCTGCTGTTTAGAAAAACTTTTTTGAACAAAACTACTATAAAAGTGTTTCAAATTCTGCAGAACAGAATGCTAAGCTGTGAAGATGTTTGTTATAGAGGCTAGGAGGATGAGAATATACATCAATCTGTCCCTGAGCCCAGCACTGTACATTTCATATTTGTCTTTGATAACAATGCACTAAGTCATTTGCTTTATTAAAGGACATTGTGTAGAATACAGGATAAAGGGAGAGAAAAATTACTAGACTTTGGGTATATATTTTTTCAGCTTTCACATCCTCTGAAATAAAACTAAGAAACTGATGTTTCTGACAACTGATTTGAGGAGTGCCTGAATTTTCATTATATTTTTTGGCTATATTATTATATCTGCTATGTAAGTATTAATTCTTTATTATTTTGTTATTTATAAGATAAATTATTCCAAAAAAGAAATGAGAGGTAATTTTCTATATGTGCCTGTCATTTCTTCTTCAAAAATAGATGTGGGGAGCCTGGGATATAGCTCAGTGAAGGAGCACTTGCCTGACAAGCACAAAATCCTGAGTTTGATTAACAGTACCCAAAACAAAAACAATAACAAAAAAACACCACCACCACCAACAAAAAAAACCAGATATAGGGAAAGCCTTTAACTTTTCTTTCAGTCATAGTACAAAAAAAAATGTACCTATCAAACTTTAAATTTTAAAATAACATAACAAATCTAGGAAGATCTCAATAAGAAACTTTCTATGAAATGAGAAATACAGAAAGTTAAGGTATTCAAATTAACTATATGATTGTGTTAAAGTATAACACAATTAAAGAACTGAGAATACAATTTTAGATGCAAAAATATATTACAACAGATACATAATTTCTCACTTCAAAATTAACATGTAGTAACTGAAGAATCTGTATTCTGAAAACATATCTTATAAAAACTTAAGGGGGCTGGGGATTTAGCTCAGCGGCATAAGCTCCTGCCTTGCAAGCAGGCAGTCGTGAGTTCAATCCCCGGTACTGATAAAAATGAAAAAGACAAAAAAAAAAAAAAAAAAAAAAAAAAAGATTTAAGTTTTTTTTTTTTTGTCTTTTTCCTTTTTATCGGTACAGGGGATCGAACTCACGACTGCCTGCTTTACAAGGCAGGTGCTTATGCTGCTTTGTAAAGCATTTAGAGGAAGAAAATGCAGACTCAAACTGCAGACTCAATGCATACTCAAATGGGATTAGTTACCTTGTAAGAAAAGACTTAAAGCGGCATAAGCACCTGCCTTGCAAGCAGGCAGTCCTAGGTTCGATCCCCAGTACCGATAAAAATGAAAAAGACAAAAAAAAAAAACTTAAATCTTTAAACCAGAATCATATTTATGCACACAGCTCAACAGTTTTACTGCTAGCTTTCGAAATCAAGCATTTAACTGTTATAGTTAATGCACTGTGGCGAAATTAAGAAACCAATTGTAGATAAATTTCTTATAAATTTTCCCCTTATATATGTGACTGTATGAAGAAAATACATGGTTCCTACATTGTTCCCTGGTCCATAAATGCAGAAGTAGTAGGAGAAAGTAGAAGTTAAGAAATAGTGAATACACACTCAAGGAGAGGTCAGCTTCTGTATACAAACTAAGTATTTTAACATGTCTTGTCTTGGCTTAGCTGCCATACAAAATATCATTTACTGGGTGTTTTAACCAACTGGAGTTTATTTTTTCACAGTTCAGCAGGCTGGAAGATCAAGATGAGGGTGCAGCATGGCCAGTGTCTGGTGAGGGCCTTCTTCCTGGTTTACAGATGGCTGCCTTGATGCTGAGTTTTCACAGTGCACAGAGCTCAGAGACTGCACTATCTCAAGTCTTTTCTTACAAGGTAACTAATCCCATCAGACCAGGTCCAACTTCATGACCTAATCGCCTCTCAAAGACCCTTTCTGGCAGCTTCCACTAGAGAATTTGGGGGAATATAATTCAGTCTATGACAATCTGGCCCTTCCCCACTCTAAATTCCAAAGTTCTTTACAGATTCTAGCATTAACTCTAAAATCATCTAAATATCACCTAAGTGATACTTGAGTGAGGCTTACAGTTCATCCTAAGGCAAAATCCTCTCCAGCTGTGAACCTGTGAAACTAGGCAAGTACTGTTCTTCCCACGTACAGTACAATAATGGGAGAGGGAACAGGGAATATTCCTTCTACACATAAGAAACAAGACAAAAAGGAGTGATGGGTCCAAGGAAGGACAAAACCTAGCAAAACAAATCCCATTCAGTCTCAAGGCTGAGGAATAATGCTTTGTGCTTTTGCATTCTGTCCTCTAGAGCCTTGGGGTGGCACTTGTCGATCCTACAGCTCTAGCATCACCCCCTCAACTCTAGGCAGTGGTCCTGCTCCCAAGGCTGTAAGCAGAGCTGAGGAGACCTACTACACCTGAGGTGGAGGCCCAGACGACATCAGCTCTGACATCATTTTCCGCTGTCTTGAAGACGTGTCTAGTTCTAGCATCCTGTCCCATCAAACACAAGAAGTTCAACAGTCTTCTTTCATTCTGTCACATCCCCATTACTTTTATTTCAAACTGGCAGTGTTTCTGCTCACATAATCTGTTAAGCACTTTATTATGCAACAGGCCGACAACATTCTGGGTGTTCTTAACAGAATATAATTTCTTATGTTTATTTCACAAAATGGATAGGTTCGGAATTTTACAAACTTTCAAGTTCCAGTTTTTTTTTTTTAATATTTTAATCTCTTCCCTTCTGCATACAGGAATCAAGCTGTTCCCTCAATAGTTTCAAAATCTCCTTAAATATCCAATTTTACCAATTAACTTCTACCATCTAAGAAGCACTAGAAGAGTTTAGCTAAGATCCAACAAGCCAGGTTATAACAGAAGTTATCTTTCTTCCAGTAGCCAATAACATGTTCCTCATTTCCATCTGAGATCTCATCAGAATTAGCCTTACTGTCTCTATTTCTGGCATGAGTATCAAATATCTTCCACTTTCTATCCACTGCCCAGTCCCAAAGCTACTCCACACTCTTAGGCATTTGTTGCAGTGTCATATTTTTCTGTACTAAAATCTTGGGCTGACATAACAAAATACTATAAACTGGGTGACTTAATTTATTTTCTCCTATTTCTGGAGGCTGGAAGTTCAAGGTCAGGCTGCCAGTATAGTCAGGTTTTGGTGAGGTCACTCTGCTAGGTCTACAGGTGGCTGCCTTCTTGCTGTCTTCACAGAGAAAGACTGCATTCTCTCGTCTTCTTGTAACGGCACGAATCTCAACAGAGTAGGGCCCTACCTTCACGACTTAATATCTCCCAAAGCTCCATCTCCAAGTAACATCACATTCGGGTTTATGATTCAACGTAACAATTTGGCAGTGGGAAAAGAAAAGCACAAAATTCAGTTCATAAAATGCCTATATAGCTATACCTGCATAGTAACCTGGAAAAGAGAAAGCTGCAATCTACAGAAAAGAGAAAGAAAAGTCAGATTTAGAAAAGTATGTAACATTTGTTACAAACGTTTTATAGATAAGTAGCTTTTGAAAGATTTTTCTATTTCTTCAGTAACTAAAGTCAATACTCTATGTATGTTAGTATAACAAACTCAGAAATAATTTTTTATTCATCTTAAATTCACTCAATCTGTATGTGACACATATTTTAAATTATTCCTATCTGTCCAGGAAAGAAAGTTCTTTTCAAAGGTTTAGCCAGTATATCTACAGATTTTCACAGATCTTTAAAGGATTGAAAAATTGCTCTTTTACCTTAAAAGAAATTTTTTAACTCTTCAGTAAGATTTAACTGCTTTGTAGTATGAATATGTCAGAGATTAGTCCTAAAAAGTTAATACCAAAATAACCTATCATGCAATGACTTGCTCTTCAGGATTTTTAATCCATAAATTGATTTGTTTTAAAAACACTGAGGAGAGTTCTTACCAGATATCCTTAAAAACAAAGCTAGTTATGATGTATTTGGTAGTTGTTTTTTTTACCTGTGTGCAAGGTCCACAGAAACAAAGAAAAAAATATACAGAGGTCTCATGAGGGGAGTGATTTCATAGGTATCCTGGGTTTGGAAAGTTGCAGTCTCGATAGGTGTGTTTACAATTAATGAATATTCTCCTATGCACAGTGTAATCCATCCAAGGATAAACAATGGAGCAGTGCCTCCTGCACTGCCATACAGCAAGGTTATTCTACTTGGGAGCAGATACCACGTTCCAAGACCACATAGCAATCCAGCAAGAACAGAATGAAGAAATGTATTGGCTATATATTTCTTGCCCGGAATTAGAAATCTGACAGTCTCAGCACCGGCACAACTTGTAAATTCATGCTCATCTTCTTCTGCTAAGATATCCGTGGTTGGTATTCTTTCCACTGTCACTGATTTGGTTTTGGCCCTTATACTTGTGAACTGGATGACAAGTGCAGCAACAAGCATCAGCCCGCCCGAAAGTGCTGCTGTGTAGTAGTCCTTTAGGATGCTTACTTGATACAAAAGTGTTCCTACGCCGCCCAAAACCCATGGTACCAGAAAAAGGATAATCTGATTAACATATATGTAAGGAGCGGCCCAATACCCTAATCTGAGTCGAGGGCCTCCAAGAATAGTTTGTGGAAGACGCTTCAGAAAGAAGTCCTGCTTGTAGTCATTCAGCAGAGGCACATCTGGACTCATCCTTCTCACTGGAGAACTCAGTCACATCCTTCTCTGTAAACAGTCGTCTCTAAGAAAAGGAAAGGAAGGCACTAGTTGAAAATATCACACTTGAAATCTAGAAGAAAAAAACCCACATTTCTATTAGCTCCTTAGTACTTTTAAGGACAACACTTCTAAGTATACTTCTGTGGCTAACACATTTTTGGTGCCAACTTACTGATTTTTTAAAAAATCAAAATAAATTTGCCAAGTTATTTTTTTAATCGTATGCTTTATGAGTTTACCTACAATCCTATATTTGAAATTAGATCTTAACTCATATTTGTATTGTGAGGCCAAAGGTTCAGAAGGCTAGTACTACTGTCAAGTGCAATCTGCCAGTATTTTAGACACTACTCAGTAGTTTTTTGTTGAGTAACTGTATTATGCTTTGCTATGACCTCATCTTGCTGTTATAGCACAAAAGTGGCCACAGAGCACACACTATGTAAATTAACATGATGGTTATATTTCAATAAAACTTTATTATATTTATTCCAATAGCTTATGAGCCAGGTTGATCCTGAGGGCCATCATCTGCCAAGCCCCACATTATGAAGTAAGAATATTATTTAAAATGGAAATAAAAGTGGAAAAATGGAAATACTGTTACTCATAAAATTAATAGTAAATTTAGGATTTTCCAACAATTTAAAAATAAATGCTGCTAAAATAAGTAGCATTTCAATAAAAATCCACATAACCATTTGTAGATTCTAGATTTTCAGGCTCTAGTTCAGCCATTGGGAAGGGTCATGGGGACTTGTCACATTGAGTAAGAAGAACAACAAACTGAAAATATTTTAGATGTCAGAGTAAGTGCTTAATTTTATTAACTATGTTACCATTGAAAGTAACTTAGTAATTCATTTTTTAGCCTTTTTGTTGGCAGTTTCAAAAATCTTCCAGGCTCCCAGGAAAAATAGAGTCAATAGTACCCAAGAGCTCAGGAAAAGAAAGGAAATTTTATTTACGCTAGCAGATCTCAGAGGAGTAATCTCCAAAGCTGAGGTGATGATTAGGGTGGTGGACACAAGTTACAAGAATGAGATGAACTTTTAGCTGAAGGTTATATAGAACAATGGTATCTTGGTGAGCATAGCTGTATATAATGAAGTTGTTTTAACACATTCATAGAAGTTTCAATTTGATGACAAATCCTACGATTTAGCTGAATCCAGTGAACAGAATGACTGTAGCTTTGTTGAACAAAATGGTTGCAGCTATGTCAGGATTTCTGCTTTATAATCCTCTCTTGCTGCTCTTTTGAGGGGTATCACCATTTGAGTTTACGAGGGACTGCTAAATGTAGGCAGGCCTTAAGTACATCAAACTTGGGTACCTGGGGTTCTCTCCTGGAAAGCTGTCTCAATCTCTGAATTAAACTACATACACAGGGGATTTACAAGCATCCCATAAGAACAAGAATTACAAAAGTAATGATCAGGGAAATAAGTATGGAGGCCATTTAAGTTCTTTTATGGCAAGCCACTGTTTTAGTAAGCTTGTAAAAGTGGTAATTAATGCCAGCATTTTTGACTAGTTCTTTGGACAGAGTTGTGAGACCTTGGAGGGCCTTGGTAATTGTGCCATCAGGGGTAGTGTTGTTTGGGATAAAAGTACAACAATGGGTTCCTATCATAACACAGATACTTCCTTTTTCTGTTAGAACCACATCCAGAACAATTCTGTTTTTTCAGGCCATCTGGCTGGCAGACCCAAGCTGTTCAGCTAGTATCTTAAGAGCATCTCAGGTATAATGTATACCCCTTTGCTGATTACAGTAAACATAGTTTATTCCATCTACATCTCTGTTAATAGTGACCCACCAGAACAGTGAACTTTTAAATCCTGTAGGGAGTTGGTTTGCAGCTTTTTAAAAAATTTTTGTACCGGGGATTGAACTCTATGACCTTGCACTTGTCAGGCAAGTGTTTACGCCACTAAGCTAAATCTCCTGCCCTGGTTTCAAGTTTTAAATTTCACTGGGGACCTCTCATGAAACCCTAATTGCAGCCATGTAGATAGTATAGTCAAAGAAACCTGTGGCTGCTTTATTGAGGGGTATTTCCTGAATTCACGGGAAGGATCAGGAGGAGTGACTGACCTCTGAGCAACTGTAAGGGTGCTTACAATTGGACCAGGATGCAGGTTCTAGTTCAGCCATTGGGAACGGTCATGGGGACTTGTTACATAACCACCAAACATTTCTACATGCAGTAGTGAGATCCATGGGCCCAGTTGGGGCTAAGTCAGTGAGGTTTCTAGGGGACATACATCCTGGCATGTTGCCTACACCGGGGCCAGTGTTTTTAGTTCCTCTGATGCATGTGTTGAACTGCTGGTTTGGGGTGAGTGGCCTGAATGAGCGATGAGGCTGATACAGGTAGCACGATGTAGAAGGAGCAGAGTTAAGAGTCTGACAGTCCTAGTTAGGCCCCCAAGGCCAGTCATCCCTTTAGAGTTAAGGGTCTCCCTATTACCCCTGGAAACAGTGGAGGTGATCAATCCCAACACTCACAATAAGTACAACAGCAAAAATATGCATTTTCCTAGTTTTCCCAGTGGGGGGAAGCGAAAAGTAAGGTTAGGGTTTTAGGAGTCCTCGGAAGCAGGGTCAGCCAGTGAAACATCCTAAGGTTAGCATCCTCAAGCTCTGGCCATGCGTAGACCTGTCAGCTTCTGAGTCTGATATCAGGGCTTCTCTGGCCCAGGAGTTCTCTGGCAATGGAGGTTGCTCTTTGACAGGTTGTCTGAGTCAGGTGATGATTTCAGACCAGAGTGACAGTATGGTGGGCTTTCTTGATGCAGGTGTGACATATCTAAGGCTGGATCTCTGCAACTTTAACAGCTGTAGGGGTGAATCTAGTGGGCCCAAGTGAGTACTGAACACAAAGGGCCATAAGAAGGCCAATCCATAGGGCTTTTGTTTCATGGCAGAACTTGGCCAAGGTTGTCTTCAAGGCAGGGCTTATCTGTTTTATTCTTTTAAAACTCTGAGGCTGAATCATAGTATATAGGTTTCATTGTATTTGGAGCAGTTTACCAAGGTTTTGAATTATTTCTGCCACAAAGACTGGGTTGTTATCATTTCCTATGGACATTTGGGAATAATCTGGGAATAATTGCCTAGAGCTGCTCAATTGACCCTGGAGGAATTTTCTGTTTATACAGGGAAAGCTTTTACTCAAGTAGCAAATGTACAGACTGTGACCATAAAATATCTGTATCCTTTGCTGGGTTTGACTTCTGTGATGTCCATTTGATTTCAAAGGGTAATGTTCCAGTCAGTAGGATCCACAGACTGGGCTTAGGTCTTGAATTAGATTATTTTGAGCACAGTTTAGCATCACTGGTAGACAGTGGAGCAGATGCTGACCAGGGATGGGATATAAGAGCAGCAGCTACTTGTTCTGTTTTTCCTCCATTGGTTAGACTGTGGTATTTTTGAACCCAGGCAAAGCTATCTTTGTGGGACGAGTTTGTCCATCCAATGAGTGTCCATCAGGGCCTGGGTCCCTTAGTGGCTTGGTTGTTTTGCCCAGTCATCTTCTTCCTTTTCATATGCAGGGAATTAATTTTTGATTACCACTACAGTGTCAGGAGGAATCCATTAGAAGTTCTAGGTTTGTCTGTTCAGTGTTTTTGACCCAGGATGCTCCTTCAGCAGCTGCTTTTGTAATTTTATCTGCTTTACTGGTTTCTAAGATGAGACTTTTGATCTTTCGTTGCACTGCCAGTTGATGATTGCCACTTGGTGGGTTTTCAGACAGAAGCAGCAGTAGAATTTCTTGTTTTTAGTGATTTTTCTTTTGTCATGAGGAATCTTTTCTATCTATATTTTATACATATGAACTGTGGCAAAGTCATATTGAGAGTCCTTGCTTTTGTTTTCAGGCCAACTGAGGGCCTTTATGAGAATCTGCAGTTCAGCTTGCTGTGCAGATCATCCTTGCAGGACAGCTTTGCCCAATGTAACTTCATCCAAGGTGACTACAGCACATCTAGCTCGTTTGACTTCATTCCTAACAGTTACTTCTTAGGGTGTACACCCTACTTAGGGTGTACTCAGCATCTGTCAGGGGTTCATCTGTAAATCTAGTTACTTGAAAAATAGCACATCAGTTAGTGCCAGGCAGTTATGGTCTGGAGGGCCTGGCTTGGTGCTCAGGCACATGGCAGGACTCAGTGGTTTTATTGCTGCAAGAGTCAAGCAAGCATTTTTCCATTAAGAGTCCTTGGTACTGAGTGACCCAGCTACTGGACAGCCAACAATGTTCACAGTTATTCAGGAGGTCCAGTATAGCATGTGGCACATGGATGGTTAGGTCTTGGCCTAAAGATCAGCTCTTGATTAGAAGACAGTGGTTGTTAGAGCATGGAGGCAAGGTGGTGAGCACTTAGCAACTGGATCCAAATGTTTGGACAGGCAGCACTCCCAGGGGCCTACAATTTGAGTAAGTGTCTTTGAAGCCACATGTTATCATTTATCAACAAATGAGTTGAATGGGAGAGTTACATCTGGGATTCTCATGGCTGAAGCTTTAGAGGCCTTTTTTAATGTCATTGAAGGCTTTCTCTTGTTTTGGGTTTCAGCTGAAGGTGTTAATAAGTCTTTTCCAGCCAAAGCATCAGATTGGGTCCTTGCTTTTTCTGTGAACCTAGAGATCCAGATTCTGCAGATGCCAGCAGCTCCAAGGAATTTTTTGGAGTTTCTTTCTCATGGTTGGGACTGGATGGAGCAGATGACCTCTTTTTTTGTGAGGGGTGGCCCAAGGGCATGGTGTCCTTGATTTAAGTCAAATTCCAGATACCTGACTTTTGGTTTGCAAATTTGTGCCTTTTTCCAAGATATCTTGGTACCCAGTTTCTGTCAGATGTTTCAACAGAGCTTTTGTCCCTTTCAGCAGACAGATTGGGTGTCATTAACCTGAAAAAGACCATTAGTGCATTGGGGGAGGTGCACTAATATTCTGTGTGGGGAAACTAGCGAGGTCAGCTGCGAGGGCTTCTCCAAAAAGGGTAGGA